TAGCATACTATCATAGCCATGTTAACTCAGATTACACTTACTAATCACACAAACATCAAAGCTAGACAGTTATAATAGTGGAACAGGGACACCCAAGTCAGCTATGAAAATTTCTGAATGGATGTAATAATTGCAACACATACATTATATAAGAATCAGCAAAGAACTTCAAGAACCCAGAGTGATATGAAGGACCAAAACTTCAAACTTGATCCTACTGAACGTGTAATAATGTCCCAGAGTCCGCCTAGATCATCATTATGATAGTGTGGACGATTAATAGTGAAGCCTGGCCATAAACCAATGATTGACCACACTTATCTAAATCCCTGGTTTCTTGAACTTGCTGGATGTTCAGTCACTCTGGTGTTACGTTGAAGACAGTCCCACACTAGACACTCAAACACTGGAGATACATCCAAGCTCCTGAAGAGGATCTCAGGTACCCAGTCAAACACTTGAGGCACAAACAAGCTGCCGGATAAATGATGGTGAAGGTACAACACCCTTAATGTTGTCAGTAGACCAACTGGAGGATTTCATTAAATGATGACAAAAGTTTGGTTTACACTCTGATGCCCACCACTGGCTTAGACATAGGTGACTTCTTTGTAGGTGGTTTTGTAGACTGCTGATTCACTGCCTGGCCTCCAAGGAGATATCATCCTGTATCAAGAAGGAACTCAGATTTAGCAGTCATCTCAGGGGTTACATGTCAAGCTCAGTTTATTAACATCCACATTAGTAATCATTCAGAGGACAGCTCTTAGGATAATGAGACAGTATAAGTCTCTACATACCATCTCTATTATTCAGTCATTAATAGGGACAGGAGATGAGTGAGAGTGGAGACAGATAGACTATCAAACATCGAACATCAACTCTCCTCGCCCACATGCACTTGTAAATATACATCCCATCTCTCTCTCACATATATATTTTATACCATCTTACACACTGTGTTATGCTAAAACCAACCTCTGACGTCACAGCGTCTAGCCGGCTAAAGGGTGACCCAGTTTAATATGTCTGAAACGTTTATTATCTCTATAATGGTTTGGGTCATGCAGAGCACAAACTAAAGCCTGCGAAGGGAAAGGTTTGATTTTAGGGGCTTGAGTTTCTGGATACCAAGAACGGCCTAGTTCTGTGTGGTCACACGGCTGAATCTTCCCTCCCTGCCGCAGTGGCCAACTTTAAAGAGACATATATCATGGTACTCGTAAACTATAATCAACTTACCCAGGCTTAGGAATCCTTCAAAGATTAAACTGGAATTTTGAATGCACCAAAGTTTAATCAGAGAACTGAAATTCGTCTCGACACCTCAGAGGTCTGGCAAAGAATGCCCGCGCCAAATTCTGCTTGGCATCTTTAGAAAAGAAGTCCTGTATTAGTGCCCCAGGAGTAAAAAGGCTTTCAGGGATTTCAAAATATTATTCCCGAAATTATTTATTCCACGTTTGCAAGTTTGAAAATGTAGCCTTCTCAAAACAACTAGAGGGTCTAGAAATGTTTATTCCACCAGATAGAGGTATATATCAATATGAGGGACTATATACCCACTGGACGGGTTCAAATTTGAAATATGACCTATCCGCTAGGGATGTCAACGTCACAAATAGTCCAAAGTGAAGGGTTGGTTGTTCACTCCGTGACAATCATCCATCATAAAAATTAAGTGGTAAGGGGAGCGAATATCACCTTGCCTAACACCCCTAGTGGTCTGAAATTCTTCTGACTTTTGGTCTGCTGTTCTTACATAATTTCTGCAGCTTTTGTTGAAACTCTGTATTGCTCTGATCAGGGGTGCTGGAATGTTTTTTCTCTGCCTAGCAGTCCCAGAGCTTGTTCCAGGGACCTTGTCAGAAGCCTTTTCTAGATCCAAAAACATAGGTGCATCTCACTTTTATATTCCAGAGCTTTTTCACTCATCTGTCTCAGTGTGAAGATGAGGTCTTGAGTACTTCGGTTTGCTCTGAAGTCGCATTGGGCCTCATCTGGTTGTGGCTCTACCAGACTTTTAAGTCTCTGCTCGAGAATTCTAGAGTAACTTTTACCAGGAACGCTGAGGAGAGATATGCCTCTGTGGTTTTCACATTGTCTGTTATCATTTTTTAAAAATAAAGGTAAAATGATGGCAATCTCCCAATCTTTTGGTATAGTTTTGCTACACCAGGCTGCCTGGAGAACTTTCAGTAGAAGGCGCATACTGCGACTCCCATCTCTGGTAATATACCATCATGACCTGCTGCTTTTCCCAGCTTTATTTCTCAAAAGCTGTCTTCAATTCTACCATCCTGATGTTATCTTCCCCATGGATGATTTCCTTCTCAGTAGTGAGGTCCGTTTTTCTGGGTCATTACTTCCATCAACACCAAGGAGCTCTGAGAAGTATTCTTTCCATCTTTCCATGAGATCATTTGTAGTAGTAAGCAGAGCCCCTTCCTTGTCATTTATGAATTTCAGTGGGCACTCTTTCTCCTTCCTCATGTTCTTGAGAGTCTTGTAGAAAAGTTTTTGATTTTCTCTTGCATTCTTTTCCAACTTTTCTCCAAACTCTCCCCATGATTTCTGTTTTGCTTTAAGCACTATATTTTTGGCCTCTGTTCTGAGTGCCACATATTTTTACATTTCTCTATTTCTTCAGCTGTGTTCCTGGTTGCCAGGTATTGCTTTCATTCCTTTTTCTTTTCTCCTATTTTTAATTTGACTTCTTTCGTCCACCAAGGTGTCCTTTGTCCCCACCTTCCACTTGGGACTTGACCACATGCTTCTACTGCAGCTGCTGTGAGGATATTCTTAAATCTGCACCAGAGGGTTTCAGTGCCCTCTGATGGTTCTTCTTCAGTTCCTATTGCTTTCACTATAAGTTCCTAGTATCTTAATATCTGGCTCCCTTAGCTTGTATGCCTTATTCCTCATCCCTTCTTGGTTGCTTGGTTTCTTGCATGGTTGGTGTTGCCTTGTTGGAGCAGTTCTTTCAGTTGTTCTCTTTATTGTGACCAGATAGTGGTCACTTCCAGTCTCTGGTCCTCTTATGACTCTGGCATCTCTCACAAACTAGAATGAACTTTTCCTTACTATGGTGTAGTCAATGATGAATTTCTCATTCTTTGAAGGTTCACATCTTGTATATGCATGTATACATTTGTGGGGGAATTTTGTGTTTGTAATGACAAGGTTCTGTTCCCTGCAGAATCTGAGGAGTTGCTTGCCATTATCATTCAAAACATCTTCACCGTATCTCCCGATCACGCCACCCCATCTAGAGTGATAATTTCCTTCTCTGGCATTTAGATCTCCTAGGATGATAATTTCATCGTGACAGTCATCTATGGTCCTTTGGAGTTCAAAGAAATCTTCTTTGACATCTACTCGCTCATCTTCATTTGGCCCGTATACAATGACAATATTGAAAATGGTATCTTCTTCTTTCAGATCTAACACCATTATTTGCTCTGAGATGAATTTATATCCCTTGATGTTACTAACTTGATTCCCGGCCACAATACAGCCAACACTTCCCTTGGCTCTCTCTGTCATAGGGACACCACTGTAGAGCAGCATACTTCTATCGTGATCTGTGATTCCTTGAACCCTTTTCTAGGTTTCAGTCAGAGCCAAGACTCCTAATTTTGCTTTTCTCATCTCCCCAACTAACTCATTTTCCTTCCCGTTAATGCCTCTTATGTTCCATGTTCCGTAAATTGTAGTCCGTAAGCCATGCCAGTTCGTCACCGTTAAGATCTGTCCAGTTTGTATTCATAGTTTAAGGCAAACAGGTGATCAGCCTGTTGTGCCTTTGCATGGTGAAGAGCTTCCTCCTTGCGGCCTCCATGCAGGCCGTCTGGCTGATTCACGGTCACCCACTACTTCCCGAGATGCACAAAGCACTCAGGTTCAGCCAGACCCTCCTCCTTTAACAGCCGGGCTTGGGACCGGTCTTAGTGGAGTTACATGTTAATGTGCTACTGTTTAACACAATATTCTTTCCAATGCTGTGCTATCAATGTCAAACATGGACACTGTTTTCAGAAGACAGAAGGAAATTGTCCATGACAGAAATGAAATGTTTGGCCATGTAACAAGATTGGCAGCAGACAGAGCTCCACAGAGAGCAGTGTTATACAGATACAGCGGTAACAGACCCAGAGGTCAACCACGCAGAATATTGACCGCAGAAATATCAGAGACACTGAAAAGTACTATATACAAAGCGAACACAAGGCCCCGTTCTAGAGATCTCTTCCTCCCCTAACATCGCGAGGCATTCCAGAAGTAGAGAAAAGAAAGAAGAAAAAGAAAGAAAGAAGTAAATGTGCTGTCTGTCTCCATAAAGTAACTAAAAACACAAGAAGGGACAAGGTTAAACTAGATAACAGGTGGGAATAAGAGCAAAGGAAGTGGTGTAACTTTCCAAAATCTTTCACAACCTTTAGTCGTATGCATATTTTTTCCGCCCACAATACTAGCCAAACCCAGGTTTAAAAAAACACCTCTGTTATATATATTTCCCACTTTGCTCATAAGAATTACACACATTATAAGAATATATAGGGATTAAGCCAGAAAGCAGACAAAAGGCCAAACTCTTTAAGCTACCATTTTTTTTAAGGCCAGCCACTTTCCCAAAAATGCAAATGGTCTCAAATCTAGACTTTAAAAGGCAAAATTGGCAACCCTGTTTAAAGTTTTTTTCTTGAAGGATGCTTTCTACTTCTTCTTAATTGTTCACTATCTTTTGTTCATTATAGACATCATTTTATTGTGCCTTTTAAGAAGAGCTGTGTTATTTCCCACTTCCCCTCCTCCCACCACCACAGCCACTTAAAAAAAAGTCTTCATACAGTAATGGCTGGAAATGCATCTGTTTCTGCAGGTTTTAGTTATGCTGTTCAGCCTGTGATTAAATGTTATTATTATAATAATTGAGATGCCTCCACCAACCCCTTATCCTGTCCATTTAATAAACTTTATTTTTCTGTAAATATTGGCAGATGGAAAAGCTTGTTCAGGAGATGCAGCAGTCCAAGTCTGGTGTTCCAGTTCGCAGCCAAAAGACATTTCTTACATTCATTCCCTCAGTTTTCACTGGTAAGTTTGTTTACATTGGTAACATTTCAGCTACTGAAACTTGAATGTTGAATTAAGAAATGACATCACAGCACTCGGGACAAACACTCACATAAGCACTTCATCCCCATCTTCAGCAGCAAGTGAAGAGTTCCAGTTCCGATGGCACCAGTAACTGTCTGATTGTGTACCGTTGCCCTTTCCCTGAGTGGTGAGCGTTGGCCAGAACCCCAGGTAACTCATCACAGCGCCATTTTTCTCAGACGAAAATGAACTGTCTCTGCCTCCACACTGTTCTCTCGCTCCCATAGAGCCCTCACAATATCTAGCTTGTCATACATCACTTCACTACCAAGTGGTACAGAACTGGCCCGTTTATCTGCCTGCTCATTCCCCACTACTCCGAAAATGTTGGTGACCACAGCTCTAGTGCATACAGTGGTACAGTGGTATTAACTTTTATATTATTAAAACTTGTTTCAGGTTGTGAAAATATGAAACTACTCAGGTGCAAACCATACACATAATTATTATACTTATTTAATGTATAGAAAATTGATAGTTCTTTGCACATTTGGTAAGTTTTCAAAAAGAATGGACAAATTTAAGTATATGTCAGCTTTACAGGAGTAGTTACAAAAGATAAACAAAGGATGTTTCAGCGATTAGTTTTCAATATCAGAATATTGATAATAAACAGAACACAGTGCAATGAACCGACTCTGAATTTACTACATTAAGGTAGAAACAGTGCTTAATCATGATAACATTAATTAGTTTATGTAATGGAATGAAGGTGGGATTTATGTTACTCTGAAAATATAAATTTTATCATATAATTTGGTGTGCATGGCTCATTTGCTGATTATTTCATTGAAAGTTGTTAATCTAAGCTTTAGCCAATGCTTCTAGCTTCTCCATTCTTTCTTTTCCATTTGATACTGATCTGTATGGGGATGTCTACAGATTGATTTCTTCTATCATATTATAATGCTTTCTATATTCATGGGCTTTTTCAACTATATAGTTATTACAAAAGTTGTGAATGTAAAAACTGCTTTCCAGCGGAAAGTTCTGGTCATTCATCCACTTCTGGACTAGTCCTGTTCCAGAACCTGAGTGTTGCTTGTATGTCCATTTTAAAGATCTGACTTAGTTTTATGCAGTTGGTTCCTTGCCTCTCAGGCAGATGCAGTCAGATTTCAAAGGAGGTTCCAAATTTGTTGACACAACATGCTTTTGGGTAAGCAGTCGGTCTATTTTTCCCTACAATAGGGCTCCGTAACAAGAAACTTTTGAATATAATTTTTAGGGAAAAAGTCTGAAAAGTGTGGGCAAGATATAGGAGTGTGAGTGTTTTTGAGAATAAGAGAAAGAAACAGAAAAGAGAGGTTGGAATGGGGAAGAAATGATAAATAGAGAGAATAAGAAAGAGAAGGTGGGGGAGGGAGTAAGAGGGAGTTGAGAGAGAAGGTTGGGAGAGAAAAAAGAAAAGAAAGAGAATTAACCCTATTGACTTTTTATTGTAATATGTGGTTTCTTTTGTTACTGGTTGTGGAGGTTGTGCTTATTCTTGTTTCTCTGTGCAGTGCATTTATGTAATTGTTGTCTTGAAACGTCCAGTGCACTTCTGCCTTCCTATACAGGGTTAAGGGATAGGTTGAATAATGTTCACTTTTTCTCTGTGTGTGCTCTGCGACCCTATTGGGGGAGGGGAGAGGGCAGGGAATAGATCCAATGCTGACCAAACAAGCATTTCATAAAAGGTGACTAATTAGGATTATGATGAAATTGGATGTGTTGTGCAGATAAGCTTAGATATTAATTACAGCCCGGCTTTTAACCATAACACAGCATGCCTGCCTGCCTGCCTCCTTTTAAAGGTCAGTGCAGAAATAAAAAAGGAGAATACTCACATGTGTAATGCTTTATGGGTATTTTTAATGATTTGATTTTACATACTCCCTGTGATGTAAAGCATTTTTGAATGTTTATGACAGCAGAGTGACTCATTGTGGATACTCAATTTCATTTCATACAGTTTTTAGTTTAATGGTAAACAGTGAGACCAGTATATCTTCTTTGTTGGCTGTACTGAGAACTGTAGAATATGCTGACTCCTTGAAATGCTTAAATTCATTTACGTATGGTGCTAAAGCAGATTTTTTTTTTTTTTTTTTTACGTATCCAGAAACCATGAGTTGTAAACCCTTTGGCTCGGTACTATGGATATCGCAACCCTTCGGCCTTGATTCCATTATAGGTAGCGTTAATCTGGGAGAAATGTGGCTTTTCTGCCTACCCCCGGGAGTGAACCCGGACCACAAGGAGTTAGTCACCCGGCCGCCGCGAAAGTCCGGTTTATCCAACTTCGCTAGAGCTAAAGCAGATAATCAGTTAATCAGTCGATTGGTTTGTCCACTTCTGGCTGCTACCTAAAGGTTTACATCCCTGTGATTACAAAAATAAAAAATATGTCTGGATGGAAGATCAACGGGGCAGATCCCATATACTGTGTTCAACCTCCAAAGAAATTATAATTAGGCTACCAGTAACAATTACACCAGCCTGGTGTAACCTGCAGTACTTTGTGGGTCAGGACTAGGCTTTATAGCTCAAGCATATAAAAGCCACCTGTTTATTAAAATGATACAGACACACTGTATCTCATCAGGAACATGATTACAGAGTTCATTCAACATATAATCAAGCACAGAAATGAATCCTTTTCACTGAAATACACAAATCATTTTGTCGATTACACTATAGATCTCTCGCCAGAAGTTCAAGATTAGCTATGTGATTACCATGGTAGTTTCAAATTTACCACATATTCTTTTTATTTACACAAAGTATTAGTTCATTTATTGCTACCGCTTCGGCTAGTTAGAGTAAACACCTGTTCATTATGTAAACAATAACTCTCGCTGCATAGTCCTTGTAACCCTTGCCGAAGCAAGCACATGAGGTCCTGTTATAGAATTAGGTTATCTTTTCTGAGTGGAAAAACATTGTTTTGTATTTTTTCTAACAAGCAAAATTGATTAAAATTAATACACAGGATAATTTTCTTGGTAGAAATAACAGAATGGGATATCACCTCTGCAGGCAATGATTTGATACAGTGGTTGGCTGCCCGCTTGAAGATCAGTGAAGAAGAACATATGGAGGCAGTAAGGCTTGCCATGCTACTGTGTCATTATGGGTATATATTTCCAGTAGGTGACTCCAGAAATTTGACTGTCAAGGAAGATGCATCATTGTATCGGTTTCAAGTGAGTGTTTGGTGTTTTAAAAATTAATAAGTTAGTTGCCAGATCGTCCTCAGTGCACATCATCTTCATCTGGGTTCTGTGCCCTATTTAGCCAGATCATCCTCAGTGCACATCATCTTCATCTGGGTTCTGTGCCCTATTTAGCCAGATCATCCGCAGTGCACATCATCCTCATCTGGGTTCTGTGCCTTATTAAGCCAGATCATCCTCAGTGCACATCATCCTCAGTGCACATCATCCTCATCTAGGTTCTGTGCCCTATTTAGCCAGATCATCCTCAGTGCACATCATCCTCATCTAGGTTCTGTGCCCTATTTAGCCAGATCATCCTTAGTGCACATCATCCTCATCTGGGTTCTGTACCCTATTTAGCCAGATCATCCTCAGTGCACATCATCCTCATCTAGGTTCTGTGCCCTATTTAGCCAGATCATCCTCAGTGCACATCATCCTCATCTGGGTTCTGTGCCCTATTTAGCCAGATCATCCTCACTGCACATCATCCTCATCTGGGTTCTGTGCCTTATTAAGCCAGATCATCCTCAGTGCACATCATCCTCATCTGGGTTCTGTGCCTTATTTAGCCAGATGATCCTCAGTGCACATCATCTCCATCTGGGCTCTGTGCCCTATTTAGGGAAGAAAACAGAATAGGCCGGGTCCATTGCCCTTTAACCAGGCTGTAAAAGATGACAAGTTGAGAGATTTAGAGAGATGGAGGGGAAAAAAAAAACACCTTACCAGTACAGGGCACTAGCCATGTCACCTTAAATTCTCAGACTCATGCACCCCTACACTCCCCAACACCACCCTAAAAGGGGTAAATATAGTAGGCAGTTAAGACAGTCATTTATATGTGCTGGACCAAAGGATGCAGATGTCACCTTAACCTTGTAACCCTAATGCCCAGAAAAGACTAAATCTAGTCTTTTCCGGCTGTAACACAGGATAGGCCCATGTTGAGAAAACCTAAAAACAAAATAGCTAGAATGTCTTTGCACTGGAACTCACAAGGGTGTAAAAATAAAGGCAGACCTACCCCCCATCCCCCCCTCACCCCAAGAAGAAACCTGCAGAAGAGAGTTAGAGATGAAATTACATCGATAGGGAGGACATGGGACAAGCTGTATGTTAAATAGCAAAGGATAGGATTACTTGGCCTGAGTTGGTTGAGAGCCCATGCTCCATTGGGGGATAAATGGCAAAAGAAGAAGAATCATATAAGTATGACCCAAGTGTGGAGAGTTCAGACAGGTGAATGATCAGTGAGACCAGTTTAGGGGAAATTAGCAAAATTTGACTTGATCAGTCAAAAAAGTTTGGAAAATTAAGCAATGTTACCTTGTTTAGTCTAAACTGGGATTATTCCTATGGGCCAAATCTGACCTGCAGGCCAAATTTGACCCATAGAGGCCATAAATGGCCTCCAGGATCACCTGCCAGTTGTATAAATAATCTTTGTGTGCTGGGGTTGGGTCTCTTACCTGTGACAATTTCCATTTCCCAGCATTTTCCCCCCTGAGTTAACGTAATTAAATAATAGCCTAGGTCAAAATCGTTTTAGAAATGAAACAAACTTACTTTGTTTAGTCTAAATAATTTGGGAAATGGATCAAGTTAACTTTAAGTACACATTATGCTGCATGCAGGTTCTCATATAACTGATTTAAAAACAAAACAATTTTAAAATCACCTGATTCAGACACTTTTCTCTATGAATAATAGGAAATGATTTGATGTATGTATGCTTCAATTTAATAGCACATGTACGCTTTAAAAAAAAAAATTATTGTTTTATTGGTTAAGGTTTTGTGGCTTAGAAGTTAAAGAAAAGTTTAACAATGCAGTCCCCACTGCTTACCTGGGTTTGATTCCTATGGTGGGCAGTTTAGGAGGAAAAACCATTCTCATGGCTTTGAGACAGTGGTACAAGAGTTGCACTGTGGAAGAGATTGGGGCTTCACCGCTTATTGATTTTGAACATGGTATGGAGCACTGGGAAATATTGTGGCGACTGGAAATATCACTGGTAGAAGAGACAGAGGCAGACCAAGAGAAATGATGTTGGATGACTTAAGACAGTGGCATGGAGGAATATCATCAGTGAAATTTATCCTGAATACTAAAGACCGAGATCTGTGAAGATGCATCATCTAGTTTGCAGTGAATATGTTAAAGCCAACCTTCATTGTGTAGGCGGAATAATTTTTGTTATGGCATATTTGACCATTATAGTTTTTTCCATTAACAGAAGCCATACTATTGGCCTTCACAAAATGCAGAACCTGACAATGTCTCTTATGGTAAGCAGATGTTCTGTATTTACTGATAATCTTAAGATATTTAAACTACATGTTTGATGTTTGCATGGTCAGTTGCAGTCTGAGTTTCTGGACATGTTATAAGAAGGAATAGACTGGATAACTTATTTACAGCTGACAATATTGATGGGAAAAAGAGTAAGGAGAAGATGAAGTGTTGAATGTCTGGGTGCTTGGCCATATTAATGCGATGAGACAAGAGCACAGACATGATCTATGATTCTGATTATTGTGTGAGATGGCAAAGCACGACCGCCCACACTTGTTGGGAGGGCACATGATGATAATGATGATTTGAGTCTAGATCCATGCCTCCAAACATGTTATGCTATCTAGAGATGATCCTAATTTCTCATCAGTACAGATATCAGGTTGAAGACATATGCTTCATTGGGGGATAGAAGACAGAAGAAGAAGATAGCGGATGTCATCAGCTATTGTCTTGACTGTTGTCTTGTGACACCCACACTGCTTTTTGTCTGTCTTCTCTTGAGCAAAGACAATTTTTTTTACTCTATATTGATTTACTGCACACATTGTTGTTGAATTATCATTCATCATCATCCTCGTGTGGGTTTTGTTGGGAAAACACGAATAGACTCACTGGTTCCCAAACAAACATGACGAAAGAGTTGTCTAAGTGGGGGCTTCCTTTGAAGTTGAAGTGGATTTGCTTGACAGGCAAGGAACCGATAGGCTGCATACACATTAGCCAAATCTGTAAAATGGATATGCATGCAACACAGGTTCCGGAACAAGATTAAAGTTCAGGAGTGGACAAACAACTAAAACTTTCCTGTTGAATTTACAGCCAGTAAACGTGAAGAAGACGAAGAAGATTGATGGTTGTCATTCCATTGTATCTTATGTCACATAGGGTTCGCAGTTTATTCTTTCATTCCTTTCTATTTTGGGCAGTTAGTTATTTTAATGTCATGGATGGAATGCAGTCCACCCATCTTTGTCCTCTGTTATCGGCACTGGTAAACTATACTCCGTTTTGTTACCCCAGTTGATATCGTAATTTAGGTATAATAAAGGCAGTATATAATGACATGAAAACTCAAAACTCAAACCTGTACAACAATTGCTCAAGTTGAATTTGAAACCAAAATGCACCCGCACTGCAGCTGTGCTGTTAAGATGCACAGCATATTTAGTGCCAAACAAAAATATTAGACAAAGAAGTCATGAAATATTTCATTACAGGAGACTAACAGATATGCTTGAAATAAGAACCAAAGAGATGCTGTTTGTCATCACTTTTTCTATACTTACTGACTCTTGTTTGTATTTCTTGGCCTCTTTCCAGAAAATAGTGTTATATTCTGCTGTAGGAGGCATGGGAGTCAGAGACCATGGAGATGGGCGGTTAGGGCCAGGGATGAAGTTCCTCCCCTTTTCTCCTTTTGTCTCCATGCTGCCAGTGCAGGATTATCCGTCTTCTGGCCTGCCTTGTTTAATTTAAAGGAAAAATATAACACTTTGGACTGAATTATGAAGACAAATAATAACAACCTGCAGAAAAGGAATTTAATATATACTCTTATAGAGCAACTTAATGATCTGGGCCTTTGAAACTGCTATGAGGTTTTTGCCATTAACTGTATTCATTAAGTGTATTAGAATCACAGATGATGTATCCATTTGTTTTCCAGCAATCCATTTAGTGAAACGTTCTATGCGTAACAAACAGAAGCATGGCCTTGATGACTATGAGCAGGTAAAGTTTCACCGTTTGCGGCATTTTTAATGACACTTTTAGCTTTTAATCTGTTTTAGTAAGAGTGTCAGATATGTAACTAATGAAGGCACACATGTGTTGCACCAGTTATTGTCCAGTTTATTTCACTAGGGATGCCACTATGGTTTATCTCCTGGATGCTGGCCTGCGGATCTGAAAAAGACAGCCACCGTGATTTTGACCACGTCACCCACCAAGTGCTAATTGGTCTGTGTATTACAGATTTTACATCAACATACAATCAGTATTAACATGGCTATGAATCTTGAACAATTAATAAACAAGCCAATTTCTTGGGGCCTCAGAGATGTGATTTTGCAGAAGAGTGCTTCACATTTTGAAAGATATAAAAGCTTGCTGGGAGTTCATTGATGACCAATGCTCTAGTGGGTGATAAAGAACATGCATTCATTTGTTTATTGATCCTGCCCCACTTGTGTTTTAATTTCTATGGATTCAAGTTTTTCCATTGATTCATTTTATTGGCTATCGATTTGGTTTATTTATGAGGTGCTGCAAAAAATTCCAGGTCTAGCAGCACTGAATATAAGCTGGGAAAAAGAATATGCTTTTGCATTTAAATGACACAAAAAATGCCAATATTAAAGCTCTGTGCCAAGTTTTGTGTAGTTGCTTGTAGGCAACATGCACACATTTAAACAGATGTCAACACTTTGTGAAATCCCTGTATGGGTTCTAGGGTTCCATTGTGGGGAAAACAAGAAAAGACCCACTGTCTCCCCAATGAGCATGTCCTAAGAGTCGACTTATTGGGGGCTTCTTTCTGAGTCCGAGTGCATCTGCCTGAGAGGCAAGGAACCAAACAGTCTGCGTACAAATAAGTAGGATCTGTAAAACAGATACACATGTAAAACTTAGGTCCTGGAACAAAGCCAAAGTTCAGAAATGGAGAAGCGAACCCGGTCTTTTCACGGTGTTTATAGCCAGGGAACACAAACAGCAGACAACAACCCTTCTTTGTAATTTTGCTTCATCATTGACTATTCACTTGTAGTTCTCGATGTTATGTTACCATAATTGATGTGACTGAACATTAGTCATCCCTACACCTGCTCAGCTGTAGTGTGGTAGCCATCCAAGGTACCTGTACTGAGTGTTCCCGTGAGAAGTCGGTTATAATATCATAAAGGAGCTTCACCAGGCTTTACTTTCAGGTCACACGATTGTGTTTCGTCAGTCAGTAGCCTGTCCTTTGCAGAACCTTCCTCCCATAACAACCTTGTGGAAAACTTCTCTATCATGAGCAAGATGTCCCAACTCTGATACAACCATCTGGAGATTATCCATCACATCCTGCATCCATCTTATCTTTGGCCTTCATCTTCCTCTCTTACCAGGCATATACCTCTCCATTATTGTTTTCTCTAAACTTTCGTGACGTTTCAAGTTCTTTCATGGCTGTTATGGTTTCTTGACAAGTTTTGCAGAAGGTAGTTTGCTATTGCGTTCCTTCTGGGCAGTGACTGCACTAGCTAGTGGCCATAGTCATTGTCTCTATGGATGAGATTATCTGCCTATTGCCACAGAGCGCTTGACCATAACCAACAACATTAAATCTCTCAGCTGCTGTCACACTCCATCCACCACCTAACACAATCATGTTAGCATCAGATATTCATCAGTATGCATCAGCCTAGTCTCTACATTTTTTCATGCTTCTTTACGTATAAATTGGGTCATAATTTGCCAGTTCTCAGTATGGTCTATATGTACCACAGTATGTCTTCCTCCGCTAGTCTGTCTATCCGAATGTCTTTGGTTTGACTATGCATTATGGTGGATTTTTTTGCAAAGAGTTTTGACTCTCAGGTTGGCTCAGCCTATCAGTGTTTGGGTTCCAGGGCCTTATTTTGGAGGAAAAACAAGCCCACACCCCCCCCCCCCCCAACAAGTATTTTGTAGGAGGTGACAATTAGGGGTGTTTACTTTTAAGTCAGAGTGCATCTGTGGGAGGCAAGGAGCCAACAGTCTACAAACAGATAAGCCAGATTTGTAAATCAGATGTACATACAAAACTCAAGTTCTGGATCAAGTCCAAAGACCCAGAGTGGACAAACAACCAGAACTTTCTACCAGAATTGACAGAAGAAGAAGTATGAGAGGCTCCACCTAAAATGGGTACCTTGAAATGTCACAGTAAGTCTGCATGATGTTGACCACATCTTCCCTATTGAATGCCAGGTGGTCTTTAAAAACAGAAAATGGGCCTAGCATTATATGCCCAATGCATCATGGCATAAAAAGAGTGCTTACTTTTACTTCTTTGTCTTATTGTCCATGTATTGTGGCATTGGTAATCATGTCTGGCCTCAGCTTGTATGTCATGAATTGTCTCTGATACAGATGTTTTTCCTTACTATGATACCAGACTGTCCCCAGCTTTCTGTCTTGTTTACTGTGAATTGTTTCTGATACAGATGTTTTACCTTACTATGATACCAGACTATCCCCAGCTTTCTATCTTGTTTACTGTGAATCGTTTCTGATACATATGTTTTCCCTTACTCTGATACCAGACTGTCCCCAGCTTTCTGTCTTGTTTACTGTGAATCGTTTCTGATACAGATGTTTTGCCTTACTATGATGCCAAACTGTCCTTAGCTTCTTATCTTGTTTACTGTGAATAATTTATGATACTGATGTTCTTGCATACTACAGTGCCAAACTTTCAATGTCCTTCTCTCTTGTTTACTGTGAATCATTTCTGTTACAGATGTTCTGACTTACAATGATGCCAAACCATCAATGGCCTTTTATCTTGTTTACTATAAACTATTTCTGATACAGAGTTTTTTCCTTACTATGATTCCAAACTGTCAATAGCCTTCTATCTTGTTTACTACGAATCATTTCTGATACAGATGTTCTGACTTACAATTATGCTAAATTGTCAATGGCCTTTTAAATTGTTTACTGTGGAATCATTTCTGATACGGATGTTCTGACTTATAATGATGCCAAACTGTCAATAGCCTTCTATCTTGTTTACTACGAAGCATTTCTGACACCCATGTTCTTCCTTTTTTGTCATGCCAAACTGTCAGTGGCCTTCTATCTTGTGTATTGTGAATCATTTCTGATACAGATGGTCCTCCTTACTATGATACCAAACTGTCCTCAGTGCTTACGCTTTATTTGTATGGGGCCTCAGTGGGTACCTTATTTTGAATAATCCCACAGCCTTACAGCCCACTAACATATATGTCATGGAAGGGGACTAATTAGGGGCTTGCTGAAGTCAGTGTTAGGCTGAAAGGCATAGTTATCTCAGCCTAGCTATAAACCACAGTACATCATGCTAACTGCCCCTTTCAGGCATAATGCAGTAGGAGACTAAATGAACTGTTTTTTATGTAATATAAATTTCATTAACTTTTGTCTGTTCTCAGATGGATCAGCTTCAGATAATAAATACTACATTTGCCTCTGAGCTTTGTTATCATATCAGTTGTATTATTATTGCAGGCAAGTTTGTCAAAACTACAAACAATGCTGTGTGACAAGTGGGATTTTATTGTTGCCCAAGCACAAGACCAAGTCAAGTGAGTAAAGTTAGGCTGGTATTCCTTAGTCTTACCTTGTTTTGTTCTTCTTTTTTCGTTCGCATGAAATAGATGATCTCTATCTGCAATGTTGTCTCTGGTATGAACTTCACTGTCACTTACCTTGTCTTTTCCTCTGTGTCTACTTATAACACGGCTAATGGCTGCCTTATGCATTTAGTGCATGTATATGCTTTTGGCTTTTCTGAGACTGTATTCCGTATCAATTGTTTCACAAGGGACAGTGATGGACTTTCTGGGTGGTTTTCATTGACACAGAAATGGAGCAGCTCTGGGGTGGCCTGGTTGCTATAGAGTGGGAACTGCGTCTACCTAACCTCTGGGGCAGTGGTTCTCACCATCCTGATGCTCCGATCTTTTAATAGTTCCCCATGTTTTGGTGACCCCAGCCATAAAATCATTTTCATTGTTACTTCTTAACTTCAGTGAATATTTGTTTTCTGATGGTCTTGGGTGACCCCTGTGAAAGGGTCGTTTGACCCCCAAAGGGGTCGCAACCCATAGGTTGAAAACTGCTGGTCTAGGGTATCATCAGACATTAAGCACCCACTGCACAACACTGTCTGTGATATGAAAAGGATGCCTCTCAAAAGAGGCTGCTCCTGGATGGCTGAGGTTGACAATTTTAATCCAGCAAATATGTTAGACGAGATCAGTTGCAGAAAAGAATGGACAGATACACCTGTAGACATGCATGACCTATCTAAGGCTGTCGTAACACTGGTCTAGGTAATTGTAGGAGTCTAGCAATAGACTTTAAACAGCATTAAAAGTCTATGGTTAAGCACCAGCAAGGAGATCAAAATTAGAATTTTGAGAGCATGCATGTTTCCTGTGGCAACATACGGATGTGAGTCGTGGACTATCTCCCAATCCTTAAGAAAGAGAATAGGGGCTTTTGAGCTGAAATGCTATACAAAGATTCTCAGAATATCTTAGACAAAGAAGAGGACAAATACTGACGTCTTGAAAGATTTGAAATCAAGGAAGACTAGCTAATAAACAGCATCCTGTCTCGGAAGCTGAAATATTTTGGTCATCTCAAGCGCCACGAAGGATTGGAAAAAATAATAGCAGAAGGCATGGTACCAGGAAGGAGGGGCAGGGGCTGACCAACATGAAGATGGGCACAGGATATAAGTGACTCCTTGAGTATGAAAGTACATGAAGCAGGAAAGCTGGCAGAGATCGTGTTTCTTTCAGGCAGGCCGTGATTAGAGTGACGTTCATCAAAATACCTGCTACATGATGATAATGAGCAGTAAACTAAAGAGGACACCATTTACCCCCCCCCCCCCCCTCCCCCCCACCCTGCCCACCACTAGTCTTGGTAATGACAGGTCTCTTTTTTGACTGCCTTATTTCATCAACATCAGTCCTGACCTCACTATTGGTCTCTGAGTTGGAAGTGTTGTTCTTGCTTACTGTTCTCTGTTCTCTGAATGCAGTTCTATGCTGCAGAGTAAACATTCAACATTTTCAGTCATTCCAGAGCCTCTGAAGTAAATGTTGGCTACAATGGCTCTCATGCTCTGTCGACATAGATGCATACTAAATCAGACTGCTGTTCATCCATTTCTTGATGTTATCCTGCCACTTGTATCACGGTCTGCCTCTTGCTCATTTGCTTTACATTTTTCCTCCTAGAAGGATTTTTAAAACATAGCAATGTCTTTAATGTGTTACTTAATATTTAAGTGGAATGAATGTATTACAGGATAGCCAAAGAAAGGAAAAGAACTGATAAAGCCATAATGGACAGTCAAGAAAAAGCATTCTGGAGAATACATCGACCTCCTGTGAGTATTTATGCATTGAGAAATTATTTCTTTATTTGCAGTGAGAGAGAGAGAGAGAGAGAGAGAGAGAGAGAGAGAGAGAGAGAGAGAGAGAGAGAGAGAGAGAGAGAGAGAGAGAGAGAGAGAGAGAGAGAGAGAGAGAGAGAGAGAGAGAGAGAGAGAGAGAGAGAGAGAGAGAGACAGACAGACAGACAGACAGACAGACAGACAGACAGACAGACAGACAGACAGACAGACAGACAGACAGACAGACAGACAGACAGACAGACAGACAGACAGACAGACAGACAGACAGACAGACAGACAGACAGACAGACAGACAGACAGACAGACAGACAGACAGACAGACAGACAGACAGACAGACAGACAGACAGACAGACAGACAGACAGACAGACAGACAGACAGACAGACAGACAGACAGACAGACAGACAGACAGACAGACAGACAGACAGACAGACAGACAGACAGACAGACAGACAGACAGACAGACAGACAGACAGACAGACAGACAGACAGACAGACAGACAGACAGACAGACAGACAGACAGACAGACAGACAGACAGACAGACAGACAGACAGACAGACAGACAGACAGACAGACAGACAGACAGACAGACAGACAGACAGACAGACAGACAGACAGACAGACAGACAGACAGACAGACAGACAGACAGACAGACAGACAGACAGACAGACAGACAGACAGACAGACAGACAGACAGACAGACAGACAGACAGACAGACAGACAGACAGACAGACAGACAGAGTTAGTTAGTTTGGCGGGGAGAAGGGAGGGGAAGAGATCGTAATGAATGTCCAAGCATATCGTAAGAGTCGACTGATTAAGGGCTCCTTTAGAGTCTGAGTGCATCTGCGTGAAAGGCAAGGAACCAACAGTCTGCTTACAAATAAGCCAGATCTATAAAATGGGTGTGCACGCAGCACTCAAGTTCTGGAATAAGACTAAAGTCCAGAAGTAGATCAACAACCAAAACTTTCCACCGGAGTTAACTCACAGAAGAAGGAGACTATACCTCCTTTGTCATGCATTAATTCACCACTGACTCTTGCAGGATTGGTCACTCTCGTTATGCTTGGCTTGCTTCGCCAAAAAAATGAAAAATCGTCACGTTTAGCCAGCAACCCCGAAGGGGGAGCTTTAGGTTATAATTGTAACTAGGTTATGTGCGCCATACAATGCTTGCCACCAAGTAGCTCTGGAAAGAACTCTTGCAGTGTTTATGTGATCAAAGGAGACAGACCCAAATACTATCCTGACAGACAACAAAGTGGTCTACTGGCCAGCCAGTATCTTGCAGTGTTGTTGTGATCAAAGGAGACAGACCCAAATACTATCCTGACAGGAAACGAAGTCATCTACTGGCTAGCCAGTGTCTTGCAGTGTTGATGTGATCAAGGGAGACAACCCAAATACTATCCTGGCAGACAACGAAGTCGTCTACTGGCCAGTCAGTGTCTTGCAGTGTTGATGTGATCAAGGGAGACAACCCAAATACTATCCTGACAGGCAACGAAGTCGTCTACTGGCCAGCCAGTGTGCGACTAGGTCACCGTTGACTCTCTTTGTGCCCTTATAATCATTTATATTGTGGCTCCTGATGGTGACACAGTAACCTGAAGTATGGATGGAGTAGTTAGTAATCTTTATTGAGGCTGTAATGAAAAACTGGCCTGTTAAGACTTCTGTGTATAATGATTTTAATTTATTTTATTCCAAACACTGAAGAGAAAATACTTACTTTTTTTTTTCTTTTCTTCAGATACACTGCTAGTGTAGTTAGTAAAAGTGTTAGGAAGATGAGCAAGAACATAGTAATTCAGACATGTGTTGTGCTTTGTACTCCTCTAGCCTGGCTGCATAAAGACTCTTGACGATGGACCAAAACGAAACTTCCAGCCGAGTCAGATAGCAGCAAGACGGAAAAAGAACAAAGACTTACTGCAGAAAGAAGTTAGTTCATAGTTGTTTCACTTACGTTTCAGATTGTATCTCTTTCTGCCTCTGTTTGTGGCCGGCTAATTTCCCAGTGTATCAGACAACACAGTGTGCTTTGACATTTCTTGGATTTGGCATCTTCTTCTTCGTTTGGTTGAATACTGATGCATGATAAGGCAGACATGGTTAAGACCTTAGGGGAGCACCTGTACAATTTGGAACATAATATTGATCATCACAGTCAGGTGAGAGTGAGGCAGCAAGGAGTGGTGAGGGGATCTGGCCGATACTCAACGCTGCTAGCACTATTGGTATTGGAACTCTGCATTGGCTGCTGAAGATGGGGATGGAGCACTTATGGGAATGCCCAGGGTGCTGAGATGATGTTGGTTCTTGGGTCAGCTCAACTCAATCTCCTTCACTTCCTCATATACTGCTTCAGGTGCTAAGGAAAATGGCAAGTTCCTATTCTTGATTTTCAGGCCGCCCCGACCCCAGACACATTGTGCTGTTGTATTCTCTGCTGTGATCTTTCTATCTAGTTTACGGTTTGGTATGAACATACTAAATAAATGTGTCTAGAGAATTTATTAAAGATACTGACTCACAAAGAGAATGGATTGCCCACATCAGAAAGAGACAATCTACAGTAATTGGTCATGTGATGAGAAAGAGAAAACTGGAGTACATCATGACAAAAGGAAAATTAGAAGTGAGAAGAGGCAGAAGGAGACAGAGAGAATAGATGCTGGACTGTTTGACATAATGGCGAAGAGGATCATCTGTTTCCAGAGTTGATTGAAAGACAGAAGGTTGTTGATAGTATGACTACCAATGCCACACAGTATGGACTTTAAGAAGAAGAAGGAGAATTTTACTTGCAGCATATTATATATTAGGTACTGTATTCATAGGGAGTCACCGTGGCAGAGCCGCTACATGCTCGCCTGGGATTGGAAGGTCCTAGGTTCGTTCCCTGGCGGAGCTGGACTTTTTTCAAAAATGACCTTGGCTCCCAGCGTTCTGTCTTGTGTATTTTTAAGTACATCTGTCATCATGTCAGACTATCTAGCATCTTCTCTTTCGTCTCCCTCTGCCTCTTTTCCCCTTCAACTTTAAACAATTTGTGTGGAGTCATAACCTTTCTGTGTAAAGCACTCACAAATAGTTGCGGTTTTTCCATGTAGACACGCAAAAGTAATTTTGTGGCACATTTCACAAGGCCATGAAGTATCATTGTTTTTTCCTAGCACATATACTAGGTCATAATATTGTGAGGCAGAATGTCCAGTTAATGACAATGTCCCTTTCTTAAAAGAATTTTCTGGTACCCAATTCACAAGACTGGTTTAAGGTTTAAACCCAGAGTTGTACTAGTCAGTCAGTCAGTCAGTAGCATGTCCTTAGCAGAACATTGCTCCCATAACAACCCTCCAGAAAATTTCTCCATCACAAGCAAGATGCCCTTCGTCCGATACACCCATCTGGAGATCATCCGCTACATCCTGCACCTATCTTCTCTTTGGCCTTACTATTCCTCTCTTCCCAGGCATATACCCCTCCATTAGTGTTCTCTCCAAACTTTCATTACGTTTCAAGTGACCAAAATATTTCAGTTTTCTATGTATTATCGTCTTTAATAGCCAAACTTCTTCAATATTCAGTTCTTGAAGTATGGATGCATTTCTTAGAGTTGTACTAGCTGTACAAAAATTTAGTGTAAACTTATAAATAATAGGAACCTCTGCTGGCATTATATTAATTTAGACTGCTGAATTTTGAATTTTCATTTGATATTTATTTTCTTACGGTTACTTTTCTGTGACCGTTTTATGGCCAATATGTAAGTGAATATTACTTTTTTTGGATCAGCATGTAAGTAACTTTGCCAATTGATACATCCCCAGATTCAATATTTACACAGATCTCTCACTATATGTCGAGTGAAATCCTCAAAGGCAATTGAAAAGTATGTGTGTTGGATAATTTTCGTGTTTGAATTATCATTCTTTGTTTAGTTCTATCAGTAGGTTACCAAAGTTCTGTGACTGGCCTGTTCAGTGCTTTCATAACAGCTGAGCAAAAACAAAAAGTTAATTTGCAAACCATCCCCTGCATTTGTTGGTTGTTTGTGGTTTTTACTTAGCAGTGTTACGTTCAGTAGTTTGCCATTGCTTTCTGAATGGTCACCTTTCGATACCGTTGTGGAAATCAACACGAAGCAGTGCGTAACCAAACTGCATGCAGCTGGAAACAGTTGGAATATTTAAATTTGCAGCTTTTAAGACACCAACGACGACTGAGCATTTAAACATTGTATAAAAGTTTAAGGTTTGAGGTTTTGAACAACGGATCAACAGACTGGCACAGGTGTAGAATCCATAAGTGCTCTGTTCTTCTTCTAACTCAAGTCTGAGTCCGAAGAAGCTCAGCACAGTGCACAAGCTGTGTGGCACCGGCGAGGATCCTGAAATTCTTTAGGTTGATTTTTAACTCCAAATTTTGCCCGGGCAGCGCCATTAGGCTACTCTTTTCAATTTCCAACTGCCAAGGGATTTTTTTTACATGCGCAACAATGCACACGGGTGTCAGATCTCACTACCCAGAGACCAGGAGAAATTACTAGAAGTCCAAGTCCATGTGAAAAAATCCCAGCCCTTACTGGGGATTGAGCCCGGAACCTCTAGCACTCGAGGCGGACACCATGCCTCGAGACCACGCAGCTCCCTCATTGTATAAAAGATAACTGTAATTGATCACCTGGGGATGGAAATTGAGACAAACCATTTATGAACACGTGCTGATGGAGGACACAATATTTGATGAAACAACATATGTAAGGATGTGTGAATTTAGAATGAAGTGTGAATCCAGTAAGAAAGGATGTATGAAAGGATGTATGAAAGGAGGAATATGATGCCTGTTCAATATGGGTTCCAAAACCCTATTGTGGGGAAACCAAAAATAGACCCACTGCTTCCCCAGAAACCATTTCATAAGTCTATTAAATTAGTAACAAAGGGCGGGGGAGGGGGGGGGGGGGGTGAATATAATATAAAAATAAACACTACAAAGACAGAGACAGTGGTGATAAGAAGTCAGAAAGGCAATTTAGAAATAAAATTAAAAAACAACACTTTAAAACAAACAGAGGAATTTAAGTATTTGGGAGCAATTTTCACATCTGATGGGAAACTGGACAGAGAAGTTAGCTCGAGATGTGCCAAAGCTAATCAAGTAATGGGGCAGCTATCTTCCCTGTTGACACACAAGCAGATACCTCGGAGTACTAAAGTTAATACTATGAGAACTATTTTTTGGCCAACACTATGCTATCAGTGCCAAACGTGGACACTTACATCCTCCAATGAACGTAAAATTGTGACAACAGAGATGAAATGCCTTAGAAGAGCTGCAGGAATTTCAAGAAAAGACAGAATACGAAATCAGGAAATCAGAAAAATGCTAGGAATAAAGCCAGTCTCACAGGTCATCAAAGAACAACAAATAAAGTGGTTTGGACACCTAACCTATCTGCCACAAAGAGCCACACTAAAACATTACAACCGGTATAGAGCGAGTAGAAGACCTCGGAAAATATGGAGTGATGACATTAAGAACAGCCTTACAGAAATTTAAATCAGTCCTTCTACTACTAATCTTTACAATGTTCTCAAATTCCTCTTATCATCACATGACTAGAGAATACTGTAGTTTTTGTGTGTGTGTATAGTTGCATATGCTGTTTTACTCTCATTAGTTTTTAGTAGGCAAACATTATTAGTTACATGGCTATCCAAGGTATTTGCCGGATATTTATTTTACAGACTACTTCTTCATAGCCTCGACTACCTTCATTCACATTCCAGAGTGCATCATTTCAAGTGCTGCTATTATTCCATGCCATTGCAAAAGGCTGGCAAGAATATTCTGTTACTGTCTTCACAGCTACATCTTCTTTCCATTAATTTTTTCAAGATGTCAAAGTATAGTCCTGATTTTTCTTTTTCTAAAAATTATGGTAATTATGAACGGTCTCACTAAAATTAACACATTGCTGTGTTACTAAAAGTAGAAGTTGATTTCAAACAAAAACCTTTTCCCGTGTGGGTTTCCGGGGCCCTATTATAGGGGGGAGAATAGGAATAGACCCACTGTCTACCCAAAAGCATGTCGTAAAAGTCGACTAATTGGGAGCTTCCTTCGAAGTCAAGGAACCAGCAGTCTGTATACAAATGAGTCAGATCTGTAAAACAGATGTACAGGTAACACTCAGGTTCTGAAACAGGACTGCAGTCCAGAAGTGGATGAACAACCAGAACTTTCTGCCGGAGTTTACAGCTGGTGAACACAAAGAAGAATACGAAGAAGAACATGAAGAAGAAGACGAAGAAGAAACAAAAACCTTAAAAGTTATAGAAATTTCAAAAATCATGACATGGTCTTGTAACCTGTCAATACTGTTGTTAAGGATATCAGGGGTGTTAAGCACATGACATCACGATGCAGATTAACACAGTGAAGTCAATGATGACGCTGCAGTGCAGCTCTGGGGCTGATCCAGCCTGATATAGTGCGACTAAAATTGCAGGAAAACAAAGGTGGCTAGCCTAATATTGAACATATTACACAAATACATCATTCAGTCTTGGAGAATATGCATCTTACACTAATCCCTGGCATACTCTTATGGGGTGTACATGGCTTTTACTTACTAAAATATATAACAATACATACGTTAAGTTAAACCATGTGTATGCTTATACCATCATCATGTGCTTATCTTTTCAGCCTGGAGCATTTTGCTGAGAACTTTATGGATATAGATCCTATGATAACACCACCATTACCATCAAATCCATGGATCTCTGATGACACCTCATACTTTGATATTATCGAAAACTAGTATGTTGATTTTTTTGTACTGTCTTAGTTTCTTGTTGTTAGTCATTAGCAGATTTCTAACAGCATAATGACCTCTTTGTGAATTTGAACGAAGAAGACACAAACAACAGATTTCATAATTTATAGTGTGATGTATTTCGCTTTGTCTTGTCAGATGCAGACTAGAGTAAGAATTAAATATAATGAAGGAAATAAATAAATGTTGAAATAAACACCAAAAAAAAAGACAGTGATTGTGAACTTGCATTTACCCTATTTAAACAGGCATTTACTCTTTAATGAGGTGATTTTGTATTTCAGTTAGAAGGGTTCATTTATGGTATATAAAAATTGGCTCTCCTTTGAATAACGGTCCCAAATAATCTACGCAGAAAATTAACCCTAACAGAGCCTCATTACGTCCTGCCCTACAAACATTTAAAATTAGGAACGAAAAGTGTAAGGAAAAGGGCAAAGTTTACTGCTTACCGAAAATGAAATCCTTTATGTGTGAAAATTGTAGCACAGAAGTTGCAAATAGTGCGCGAATATCTGTTCTGTCTCGCTGTCTGCCATTGTAAATCAGCACGGCTTGTCCGCGATTCTCGATCCGGGCGAAACATGATGTAAATGCGCGGTTTAATGTACGCGCATGTCCCCTCAGGACAACTTCAAACCAGCAGCCGCCACGATGGCTCTCCACTATCCCGACCACCACGCTGGTACTTCCGACAGAAGAAGTAGCTCCTGTAAATTGTAGACTTTTTTTCCGGCGACTGTAGTGCCACCTCCGAGAGTATCCCCCTCGCTGCTACGCGTGGCGCGGAAGGGGCTAAACTAGATGGCTGGGACTCACGAGGAAATACATTGGAGGAAGCTGCAGGAGCTGCGGTAGCTGCTGCTCGTGAGTCCTAGCCATCTAGTTTAGCCCCTTAGGATACTCTCGGAGGTGGCACTATAGTCGGTGAAAAGCGGTCCGCAACTTACATATAACTTTTGCCCTGCCGTAGGATAGCGCTATCAGGAGTATTCTCGTATTTTTCGTCTGTAGTTAATCCTAGTTTTGCTGCTGTGTAATCGCCGTAAAAAATCTTTTGCGTTTCGCGAAAATGTCGTGCGCAATTAATCCTACTTTGGACACGGTTGATTCGCCACAAAAGAAATGCTAATTTTAGATATGAGTGAGGCTCTGTTTGGGTTCACTTTCTGCGTAGATCTAGATCATTTGGGACCGTTATTCAAAGGAGAGCCTAAAAATTATATATATATATATATATATCCCCATGTGGACCAGGGGCCCTATTATCCACGATAATCTTCCCATGTTACACACTAGCTCACTCATGATTGGTCGACCTTTAGTCACCCGACCTTCGCACACTATTAGGGGGGTATTCGGCAGTGCATTTATATCGCAAATTATATATTTAAGCACGCCAGCGCTTTTAACACTACAGAAGCATTTACAAACTGGGTCTAACCCACAACCCCCTAGAGAGTGCTGCAACCTATGTCACAGGTGTTCTCTTTCTCGAAAGAAAAATGCAAATGCAAGACAAGCCAGAAAGGCATAACCTCCCCCCCTCCTCCTTCCCCAGACAGCAGAGTCTAAAAAATGTATCAGTGAAATGTGACCTAGTTCGGCTGTGGAAATTATCATGGATCACACTGACCCACTGCCTTCCCAACAAGCATGTTGCAGAAGTCGATTAATTGGGAGCTTCCTTTGAAGTCAGAGTGCATCTGCCTGAACGGCAAGGAACAACCAACTGCATACAAATAAGCCAACAGAATGGATGTACACGCAAAACTCAGGCCCTGACACAAAGCCAAAGTACAATTAGGAACCAGGACTTTCCGCCAGAGCTTACAGTCGTTGAACAAAGAATAAGAAGAAGATATTAATTTTTTTTTTATAGACTCATGTTACAAATAAATCTTTACTTTTTCAGTACTGAAATTCCAACTGAACAGAGAGTGAAAAAATGGGCATACAGTTTGCAAGTTCTTCTAGGAGATCCACGAGGCAGACTTGAATTTGAAAACTTTCTATTGAAAGAGTACAGTCATGAGAATTTCGGCTTCTGGACAGCTTGTGAGGAGTTGAAATTTTGTAGGCAGTCGGAGGTTGCAGAAAAAATTAAGAAAATTGCAGAGTGAGTGTGATTGTATTTCTCTGAAGTTTGTTTATGTTGTTATATTTTTCTGTTGGATGTTATCAGATTGGTCATTGTATAGTTTCTTGCTGTTTTTTTTTTTTTTTACCACACGTTTTGGAACAACATACAAGCGGTATTCCAAAATCAGCCTCCAATTTTCTGTTCCCCCCACCCCCCCCAAAAAAAATTGTTTTTCCAAAGCAGCACTGTTCATTGCTTGCATCATTCAGCTGCCTTTTAACTCACTACACACCAGCCTACAGTTGCATTTGCTCAGTAATTCACAAATCGTGAATGTGTAAACATGGACATTGTTATTGTTTTCTTGAAGCAATGAACACATCTGCTTTTTTTTCTCTTCTTTCCATATTCCAATACATTAGTGAAATGTTAGCATGGAAGGAACATTTGTGTGGTCTTCTTTAATATGTTGAATAAGTTGATAACAGTTTGTATACCGAATCTATATTAATAAAAATCTTATAATTTTCTGGTGTCGTTTTTCCTAAACTCGGTAACTGCTGAACCGATTGCTTTCAAATTTTTACACAACGTTGCCTCTGACCCAAAGCGTGATTTTTTATAATAAAATCGCAAAAACCACGATCGACGTAGCTCCAGCAATGGTCAAATCAATATTTGTTTCGTTGTCCGCCAGGATTTGTTTTCAATCGATGGGCCATCTCGACTGTGTGACACCGAACTTCACATAATTATTATATACTTTCATTTCTACCAAATGACTGAGCATTCAGTAGCGTAGTTAGTTCTAAGCATTTCATTTTTTAATCGTGTGATTAGGGTTCGATTCCCTTCTGAGTGATATAAAAAAAAAAAAATTTGGGGGGGGGGGGGGGAGGGTGGGGGGGGGGGGGGGGCTAACTTGGTGGCTGCCACGTTTTGTTGTGGTTTATAGCAAGGCTGCAATATCTCCCCTTTTTTTAGCGTTCAAATTTTGGGTTTACAGCTAGCCTGCGATAGCGGCGACGTGATGCTCACTGTTCCTGTCACGGGTAATATTCGTTCGCCCTTACGCCCAAAGACATCCAATTTCAGTACAGTCCAAATTAGCCTCCCCCGACGCTTCACTCGATCAAAAACTATTCGTTGATGACAAAAACTGTTAACTAAGAAGGCTTACGGTTTGGTTTGGGTCGAGACGGATGCCAAGGTTAGTTAAACATCGTCACTTCGGAGAGGGAGATATGACGAGTGCGGCTTTTTATTTCCCGTTATTTGTGAGTATAGTGTCCTTTTTTTTAAAAATCACAGAATATTACTGTGGGTTCCACCAGTGGTTAGGTAATAGCATTTTATGTCGGGGACATGCTTAAACCAAACAGTCCGTGGCAACAGCATGCGGCGCCAACTCCTCTGGCTACAACGACCTGTACAGTGACCGTTTTGTGTTGTTGTTGTTGTGGCGGCGGTGGGGGTAGTGGTAGCAGTAGTACTAGTACTCGATGGGTTATGTGGTAGATGTTACACTGGCCACATTTACTTCTCAGTACAGATGAATGCTACCCATTTTTGTCTGGGTGGACACGGATGCCAAGCTCAATTTAACAACAATATTTAGTCAGGCGATGACTTCCCCATACTTCGCAGAGGATGATATGATTGTCACGGAAGGGGAATGGAGGGGGGGGGGGGGGGGGGGTGGTTGATGCCAGACACTGTTAACTGAGAGAGCTCAAAAATATTATTTTAACGTTCTCATTTCTGAACTATTTTCATTTTAACACTGTCGCCACATAATAATGTTCCAATCATTCGGAGAGGGAGATATAATTGGGCAGATGCTTGAGTCCTTGGTAGCATAGTTGTATATTTTGCGTGTTACGCTGGTGACTGGCGATCAATGCCCCGCTAGGTGATAAATTTTTTTTTTGCCCTTAACTAAGTGGCTGGCACGTTGTGTTGTGGTTTACAGCTAGGCTGCGATATCTACGTCTCTTTCCTGCTCGGTTTGGGGGTTTACAGATAGCCTGCGATAGCGGCGACGTGATATTGGTCATGTCACGGGTAATCTTCATTTGAGAGGGCGGTTGGCACGTTGTGTTGTGGTTTACAGCTAGGCTGCGATATCAGACCCAAACTCTTCAGTTTTAGGTAGTATAGTTGTACGTATTCCGCCCTTTACGTGGTTGACCTGTGTTCGATTACCCACTGGGGGCTAATTTTTCTTTTTCCCTCAAGAGGGCTGTTGGCATATAGTGTTGTGGTTTAGAGCTAGGCTGCGATATCTGCACCTTTCGCCCAAAGACATCCAATTTCAGTGAAGTCCCATTTATCCTCCCCGCGACTCTTCACTCGATTGTAAACTATTCGTTGATGACAGAAGCTGTTAACTAAGACTGACCAGTTTACTTTGGGTGGACACGGATGCCAAGGTAATTTAACATTCGTTCCTTCGGAGAGGGTAGATGACTGGTGGGGTTTTTTATTTCCGCTATTTGTGAATATAGAACAGACTATTACTATAGGTTCCATCACTGGTTAGGGGATGGAGTTTTTCTTTTCTTTTTCGGGAGCTCAGTTACGCTAACAGTCCGCGGCGACAACATGCAGCGCTAACTCCTCTGGCTACACCAACCTGGACAGACAGTAGTGACTGTTTTTTGTTTTTGTTCTGAAGGTGGTGGTGGTAGTGATAGCAGTAGTACTGGTACTGGATGGGTGACGTGGTAGCTGTTACACTGGCCACATTTACTTCTCATTACACATTAATGCTATCCATCTGTCTCTGGGTGGACACGGATGCAAAGCTCAATTTAGTTACAATATTTCATCAGATGATGACTTTTCCATCCTTCAGTGAGGATGATATGATTAGTGGGGGGGGGGGGGGGGGGAGGTGATGGCAGACACTGTTAGCTGAGAAAGCTTAAAACATTATTTTAAAGTTATCATTTCTTAACTATTTCTATTTTAATAATTTCGTCAAGTGATAATTTTTTATTCCTACCGAGATGGCAATTTTATTGTGGAAGGAGGGGGGGGGGGGGGGGGGGTTATGCCAGACACTGTTATCTGAGAGAGCTTTAAACATTATTTTCAAGTTCTTATTTCTTAACTATTTCTATTTTAATACTTTCGCCAGGGATGATTTTTCAATCCTTCGGAGAGGGAGATATGACTGGGTGGAGGGGAGAGGGAAGGGGGGTGAGGGTTATGACAGACACTGTTAGCTGAGAGCTACCTTGTTTCTTTTCCATTTCACCATTCGGGGCCACAGCAGTGCGTGGCAGGGCACAGCTAGTTTAATTATAACAATCAGTTTTTTTCTCTTCTTTTATGGTTGCCATGCTGAAGGCTGTCTCAACACTTATTGTTGTTTATTTGTAATATATTTGTAACATTATTCAAACACAGTGAAATTATGTCTGTTATTTTAAATCTGATTTGTAACAAATCTTAATTTGTAGTGCCAGCGAAATAATATTTGGTATGCCAGGAATATTGTTTGGAAGGGCATATTGTTAACAACCTGTGATATGCTGACGATATAGTTTTGATCGCTGAAAAGGAAACACAGCTGCAAGAAATGTTGCATATAATTGTATCGGAAAGTGCTACATCAAAGTAATTGGGACAAACCTCGGGCAAGTTGATATGTTTAAGTACTTGGGTTCCCTGATAACATCAGATGGGAGATGTATCAAAGAAGTTAAATGCAGAACAGCTAAAGCAAAAGCAGCAGTTTAAACATGAAGAATATTTTATGTAATCTTTCTTTGTCAGTTGAGACGAGAAAGAGAATTCTTAAAAGCTGTATAAATTCTATTTTGATATACTAAAGTGAATCATGGACAGTTAGTAGATTAGTGACAGATTACTTGGAAGCTGCGATGTGGTTTTATAGACGAACGATGAGAATGCCCTGGACAGAAAAAAGAGTAATCAGGATATCTTGAAAGAAACTGACTCGCGAAGAGAACTGACTGCCCACATCAGAAGGAGACAGTCTACAATGTTTGGTCATGTGACGAGAAGGAGAACACTGGAGCACCTCCTGACAGTAGGAAAGTTGGAGGGGAGGAGAGGCAGAGGGAGACTGAGAGAAAAGATGCTGGACAGTTTGACAACATGGCATGGAGGATCATCTGTGTCAGAGTTGATTAGAAGTACACAAGATAGAAGGTTGTGGATAAACATTTCTACCAACGCCACACAGCATGGACTTTAAGAAGAAGTGCTACATTCTTAACATCTCTCACTAATTGTCATGTGCCAGGTTTGTAACTTCTTCTTCTTCTTCTCTGCGTTCACCAGCTGTAAACTCTGGTGGAAAGTTATGGTTGTTCATCCACTTCTGGACTCTAGTCCTGTTCCAGAACTTGAGTGTTTTGCGTGCATTCGTTTGACAGATCTGACACACTTGTGTGCAGACTGTTGGTTCCTTGCCTCTCACGCAGATGCACCCCGACTTTGAAGGAAGCTCCCAATTAGTCGACTTTTACGACATGCTTTTGGGTAGGCAGTGGGTCTATTCTTGTTTTCCTCATAATGGGGCCCCGGAACACACACAAGGGGGGGGGGGGGGGGAGAGGGGTTGTAACTGTATAAGTAAAGTCAATCAAGAACCCCTTGCCTGCCAGGCATGCATCAGGAGTATGATGCTTGACTGCTAAATCAGTAAATCATGTGTTCAACATTATGCTGGTTGCATTAAATAAAGGATTCTTCTGAAATCCTGGTACAGGTTCAAACCTCAGACCTTCAGGCCAACAGGCAAGTATCAAACCACTACACTACCATGGTTCCCTGTCACTGTAAATTAATTTTTTTTTACTTCCAGCCACTGCCCCTCGTTCTTCTTCTTCTGCTTTTCTAACATAGGCCCTCAACCAAGGTGCATCTGGGACATATGATGCTAGACTCATTTTTTTTTGTAGGCCAGCCGGTACTCGATGGGGAATGTGGTCAACATGACACCAGCCACCTTTACTTCCTGGTACTTTACCTGGTACCCAGTTTTGACTCAGAGCGAGTATCATTTTTGATAGAAATCAAGTCTGAATTGATGCAGTTTCGAACCCACAACCTTTTGGCAGCAGGTCGAGCATCTGACCACTACACACCACTGCAGCTCCCATTGACTTAATACTGAGTTGAAAAACTGTATAAAACAGAAGAGGACCTCCATACAACAGTCTGATTCTTTGTATGAAAGCAAATCAGATGGTTACTGGGACCACCAGCATTGGAACCCTTCGCTTGCTGCTGAAGATAGGGACTGAGCACTTATGGGAATGTCTCGAGTGCTGTGATGTCGATTCTTAATTCAACATTCAACATTCTGTATAAAAGCAAATCCTTATGTGGATTTCAGAGTCTCACTTGGGGTGAGTGTGGGGGAATAGACACAGTCTCTTAACAAGGCGATTAATTAAGGCTTTGCTGAAAGCTGATTAACTGATCTTATATTATCTTATACAGCAAAAGTAACATTTCATTGTGTCATATTTTACAGAGAATTCCTAACAGATGGAGCCCCACATGAAATCAACATTGACAGCAGATGTGCTGAAGAAGTGCAAAGAAATATGAAATTGCCAAAACCAAATAGGTACTCAAAATAATGCTGGAATCAGTTTGTGTGTGAGGTTTTAAAAAATGATGTGAACATAAGCTGATGTTATTATTATTGTGTACATGTTACTCCTGTTGAGAGAAAGAGTGTATGTTTAGTAGTAGTAGTAGTAGAAGTAGTACATTTTACCCCCACCAGGACATCACACAAGCGATAAACATATGATGACACAAAGTGCCACCATGCAGATGAGATCACACATGGAGAGCTCCTGGAAACTGCGTTTAGCCATTAGGCCATATTTATGGCTGGGCTATATTGAGGCCCCTGGCAAGAGCCAGGATTGGACTTTAAAAAAAAAAAAGCACGACAAATTGCATCCCACAAGGGCATGACTTAATTAAATACACTATGAGTGCATGTGTACGTTAGAGTAGTAGCATACTTTACCAAATTCATTATGCTGGTCATGTGGCACGCATGCCAGTTCACAGGCTCCCTAAAAAACTCTTCTATAGTGAGCTGCTAAATGGGAAACGTTCCCAAGGCGGGCAAAAGAAACGCTTAAAGGACACCTTGAAGTCTTCACTCAAAGCGTTTGGGATGAATGACACCAATTGGGAGGCTACCTCTCAAGACTGAAATGCATGGCGTGCAGCTCTACACAAGGGCGTGGCTACATGTGAGGCAAACAGAACAGCAAGACTTATTAAGAAAAGGATGGACAGAAAGGTAACTGCAGGAGATCCCCTCCCTGGCACAACGCTCATTCCCTGTCCTCACTGTCCAAGAACTTTTCGGGCCCACATCGGCCTCATCAGTCATCTTTGTACTCATACTTGATGGAAAAGAGTGGTCATCATCATCTTGATGGACAACACACAGTAGCATACTTATCTACTAGTGTGACGATCTGTGGAGTGACAAATATCTATGCATAGTTCCTCACGGGTGAATTAATACAATTAGATTTATGTTAATGTTCGCTTTGAAGCACATGAGTTACTAGCAGAATGAGAACAGAAATAAAACTTTGTACAGATTAATACAGAAAACAGAAAGGTAAATTGTCACATAACATTTGCAACAGACAGCAATGTAGCACATCTTTGGACAGCGATATTGAGAGTCAACTGTTTGGCATACTGTTGAATGTAAAATTGCCTAGTGAAATCACAGACAGTCAACAAAAAAATGCTGGGGCTGCTTGTGCAACTTCCTATAAAAGACATGCAGCTAATTTGTTTCCCCTAGATTCATTCTAACCAAGTAAGAGAAAGCGGGTTTCAGCTGACATCATCAGTATGGCAAATCTGCATTGTCTGTTGAGAAAGCAGACGGATGACATCTGGGAATGCCCCTAGTGCATTGACAGCATTTCTTGATTAAGTGATTCATTCATTCATTTTCAAGTGTGGATTCCAGCCGGGTAAGCATGGGGGTGGGGGGGGGGGGGGGGGGGGGGGGTGGGGGTTTAGACCCATTACCACATTTTAAAAAGAAAGTCATAAAAGTCAACTAATTAGAGATGTTTCCTTCTAAGTCTAAGTGCATCTGCATGAGAGGTGAGGAACCAACAGTCTGCATAGAAATGAGCCAGATCTGTAAACGGATATGCATGCAAAACCTAAGTTCTGGAACAAAACCAAAGTCTGGAGATAGATAAACAACCGGAACTTTATGCAGGAGTCTACAACTAGTGAGCGCTAAGGAATAAGGAGGAGATTCATTTATTAATTAATTCATTCATTCATTCATGCCTTGTAGAAAAACACTTTTACAAATCTGAGCTAGTGGAAAGAGGATGTATATAACTTTCTTCCTTGACAGGTACACATTCGATGGTGCCCAAGAACAGATATTTTCCTTAATGAAAAAAGACACCTATCAGAGATTTTTACGTTCTGACCAGTATAAAAATCTGTTAGCCATTGCCATACAGCCTGGTGGGAAAAAGAAGTAAGTCATCAAACATTTGATCATACTGGATCATTTCCAGGGCCATACTGTTAGAGATTTAACTAGGCTCACTGTCTTGGTGAGCAAATAGTAATATGTTCACTAGCCACAGTGCCGTTATGTGCACTAGCCAGGTGCCAATGGATGCATTAGTTGTGGAGCCAGTATGTGCACTAACCATGCTGGCAGTATATGCACTAGCCAGTGTGTGCACCAGCCATGGTACCAATATGTGAACTAGCTATAGTGCCAAAATGTGCACTAGCCACAGTGCCAGTATGTAAATTAGCCAGAGTGCCAATATGTGCACCAGCCACTGTGGCACTGTGTACACCAGCCTTGGTGTCAATATGTGAACTAGCCAGAGTTCCAATATGTGCCCTAGTCACTGTGGAAATGTATACAATAGCCACTGTGCCAGTTTGACTCCTTTTAGAAGTGCAGTGAAATTCACATGGTCTTTGTTATATAGATACATTGTTTAAAATTGTGAAATTTTAACATATTGTTACCCAAAAAGCTTTTGTATTTAAAATAACTTTAATAATATGGGTATTAAAATAACTTTAATGATATGGGTACCAGTGTACACAATCAGCGTATAAAGTATACAAGAAACTATCAAAATACATCTAAGCAAGGTGATGTGTATACACATGATCAGCTGCTGCCAGAGTTGTGTGGGTAGTTGAGAAATAAGCATAATTATTTTTCAGTTAGATCAGACACTACTTTTTAATGTAGGAAGATGCCAGAAAACTCATCGGTGACTGCTTAAGAAGAAGATGGAGTACATGTTCTAATAACAGTGATGTCAGTGAAATGTCTATGATGGATCCTAAATGTAAGAAGAAGACATAGGATCATAAATTGTGATGCCAGGAAATGAGCTTGGACACCAACTAGTGCTAAACTGCAAAAAGAGACAAAAAATCAAAGGGTTCTGATGTGTATCAAGAATACCATAAGGTTGTTCACTACATAGAGCCCGGTCACCAAATGAGAACAGAAGCAGAGCTGGAGGTCACCCTTGCGAATGGTGGATAAGTGAATGTCTAATGGGTCATGGGTATGAGCATCAACATAGCACACATCAGATAGTACCTCTTTGAAACCTGATGCTGATAGGCAAAGCAGGGTCTAGAGAAAAGAAGAAGAAAAAGCAATAATGTCAGTTCTTGATTTACTCATTCATTCATTCTTAAAAATGACAGAATCTTGAATTCATTTAATTTTTGTTGTTTTTGTTTTTCATCTTGCCGTCTTTCCAGATGACAGTTTTATACTTTGCTATGGGGAGGCGCAGGAATTACAGCCCATGTCAATGGTGCCTATATGTGGCATATTATGTGTGCCATCATGTGGTGAATTATGTTAGGCAGTACATTAGAAAATCATTTAGCAGTCTTTGTTATCATTGGACACCCCCCCCCCCTCCCTGAAATTTAAAAAATAAATTCATTTAATAAATTTTTTCTTAAGGTTTTTTAGCTTTGGATCCCGCAAAAAGAATACACTGACTCCAAGTCCTAAACCAAAGCGCAGAGGGAGCGCTGGCAATGATGCTGACATGGAAAACCCTGCAGTTGCACATCATTCCTATAGTACAGGCAACTTGAGGGAACTGGATGAAAAGTCCTCGGTCATGATACGGTAAGCACAACACGTGATTCCCCTTTCTTTTCTTCTCACACCTCCAGTCGTCAACCTGAATATATTCTCAGAAAGCAGCAGTCATTTAGAGAATGCAGTTCTACTATCTTCATTTCGATCATGAATGCCGATATTTATTTCTATATACTGTGGAACCTAAGGATATGAGTGTACCTGGATACAAGTTTTTTTCAGGATATATCAGGCTTGCCAATTTTTTTGGCCCCAGAATGTTCTGCAAAATCCAGGATGCTAGCCGTAAAGACGAGAACTCTCGATGTTACATAACAGCATCTCAGTAACTTTCAAAATGATTAGTTCATGTTAACATTGCAGAAGAGAACTTAAACCAGTTGACGAGCACTTGATGATGATGGACTGTAGCGACATGGCCAGAAGTAGCCCCATTTGGCGCTGCTGGCAAAAATAAAAAAGCAGCAAAACACACTTTTTTTTTTTTGCGTCAACAAAATTAACATTTTTGTTTGAAACTAATATAGTGGTTTTTTTTATAGGGATGGGACAAATTAAAATTCTGTACATTAATTTAAAGGAAACACATTTTTTTAAGTTATGAGTTGTTCACCAAATGAGCTCAAACATTAAACAGATTAAGTTCGTATCCTGAAGTTCCACTGTGTTAAGTTTTCATATATAAGTTTGACTAAATTCTAGAATAGGCATTTTGAACACATGTTTTCATAATAATAGCATGACAATGATTGCCTTGTTGTGGCACATATGAATTTACCCCCAGTTATTAACCTATTCATTAACATCATTTATTTGTCTCTGCTTTGTTCCTAATTTTACTGTTTTGCTAAATGGTTGCCTGATCATCATCGTGTAGCATGTGCAGGTCCTTTGGAGAACATCATTCCAATCACTGCCTGCCTGAAAGAAATTCTCTCACCAGATATCCCTACTTATGCACTTTCCTACAGAAGATGTTACTTATGTTCAGTGCCCGTCTTCCCACTGATCGCTTACCACTGATCGCTTATATTCAGTGCCCGTCTTCCCACTGATCGCTTATATTCAGTGCCCGTCTTCCCACTGATCGCTTATATTCAGTGCCCGTCTTCCCACTGATCGCTTATGTTCAGTGCCCGTCTTCCCACTGATCGCTTATGTTCAGTGCCCGTCTTCCCACTGATCGCTTATATTCAGTGCCCATCTTCCCACTGATCGCTCCCTGCCCCTCTTTCCTGGCACCATCGCTTCTGCTATTATCCAATCCACTGTGGCTCTTCATATGACCAAAATATTTCAGTTTCCGAGACAGGATGTTATCTACCAGCCATTATCCTTGATTTTCAGATCTTTTAGGATGTCAATATTTCCTTTGTGCCATTATAATCAGAATAATCGTCAGAACAATTACAAAAAAAGGGTTTTAACTCTTTCAGTACCAAGCAACTCACCATACATTCCTTGGTCATTTCCAAAAATAATATACTATTCTTGCTGTCTTCTATCACAGATAGATGTTGTACTAACCATTTGCATAGGAATTATTAGTTTACCTTCTTCTTATTTCACTATCTGTACTCTGTCTTTGTTCACTGGCTTTAATCTCTGGGCAGAAAGTTATGGTTGTCTGTCCCTGTCTAGACTTTGGTCTTGTTCCAGAAAAAGAGTTTTGCCTTCACATTAATTTTACACATCTGCTTATTAGTGTGCAGTCTGTTGGTTCCTGACCTCTCAGGCAGATCTGCTCCAACCTTGAAGGAAGCATCTCTGATTAGTCACCTTTTAAGACCTACATACCAGGGGAGCAGTGGGTCTGTTATCCCCCCCCCCCCCCCCCCCCTTTCCTCCATAGTGGGGCATTAGTTTTACCAACATCCATCCCTTTGTGTCTGTTTTTAAAAACTCCTTTAGACATTAGTATTTATTGCATTAACTCTTTCAGTCCCAAGGAGCGCGCCATAGTTTTATAGGTTCCTACCTAGAAGCCCAATGAACGCAAGATGCGTCAATTTTATGTGTCTTTCTACCGCTTGGGCCTCTGATGCTAAACCCTCTGGAAGTGGAAGAGTTAAGCTCAATTTCTTGGAATGTGAATGGATTAAAGTATTGACTACTTGGGACTGAAAGAGTTCAAACTGGATACACTACACAAAGATCCTTGATCATGTCTACAGCTGTTATCCAAAACCCGAATGGACACACGTATACACCAATGGATCATTGGAGGGAGCACAAAAAACGGAGGAGCTGGATCGGTCATCATGCTGCAAGATGGGACCACAGTGAAACGTCATGCGCCTCTAAAGACTCTCAACAAACTTCAGAGCAGAGCAGCAAGTAATTATTGATGCAAACAAGAAGAAAGGTTACAGTTAAATTTGAGAGGATCGACCTCATTGAACCGGGTTTTACACCATTTGGCTCGGTCTTTGTCTGCAGAATGGCTAGCCACCTGCTGAGAGCATCACACAGCAGGAACTCTGTAGCTCCGGTGACGATCCTCAGGGATGAAGGTAAAAACTGCATTCATGAACTGAACAACACAGCTGTGAAATGAACCCCTGACCTTTAGAGCATGAGGCAAACAGCTTGACCACTTTGCCACTTAGAGCAGCAAGAAGAGACAGTAGTCACCAATAAAAAGCAATAAGCAAAAGTAGGCACAGTACTGGTGAATGGTTTAATAGAACCTCATAGAATTAAATTGTTTGGTAATTTATTTGGTCAGAATGGAACAAAATTAGCCAGCAGTTATGAGTGTGATACATGAGAACAGCAGGCTACATGGCGAGAGGCCGACCAAGAAAGAGATATATGGAAGGAGTAAGGAAGACTACAGAAATGCAATATCACATTAACACAAGCTATGCCACTAGCAAAAGACAGATAATTACATATAACTCCTCTCTGTTTCGCTTTGTGAGGTAAAATGTTCTCTAGAAAACAAAAATGAATCTTAACAAAGAATAGAACTAGTCACCTTCCAAATAAATCAGTCTTAAATGATAGAATGAAAGTTGAGGTCAGAACGCCGTTATCAGCATAGAAGACTTACAGGCAGGCAGCGATTTAGCTACATAAAAGAGTGAAAGGACCCCTTTCCACGCCCTTAGGCATATCAGGCACATAGAACTTGACCTATATTTTATAGACCAGTCTAGGGAGGGGGGGGGGGGGGGTGATGTAGTCAACATCACTCCCAGCCCAGACACTAGTGGTTGCAGCCAACTTCCATTGTGGATATTGCACTACCAAAAAAAAATGTGATAAAGTGAAATGTCATCATTTCCTATTTAAAGAAAATAAAAAAGTTTTAGTGCCCAGAAATGCTCCCTTTTGGATGTGTGAATGCCCACTGCATCGTACTAGCATGTGTAACATTGTAGTGATGCATCTACTAAACTGGTCTTGGTTTCAGGCGAGATGCAAACTCCTCAGACAGCAGTCTAGCAAGGTGGTGAGCTTTTAACATTCTGCTGTTGCTTGTGTAGCTTGTTTCTTGAGCAGTCATTGATAGCTCAGTGTTTAATGCCTCTGTCTAATGTTCTACATATAGTAAATTCATTTTGTTTTAGTTTTAAGTGTTTGTAAGTAGCAGTAGTTGTCTTTTGGCATATGTGCTTTTATATGTAGTAGCCTATTTTATATTATATTCATTCATTAACTAGTATCCACAGAATAAGGGGGAATTAAATTATATGATGCAATCACTAATATTAAGCTATGGGAGATAACTAAATAGATTCCAGTGAGTCAAGAGGTGAGAAAAACTAAGCTGTCATCGGATAGGATACAAGTTATGGAAGCCTGAGAACAATATAATTAAAATATCTTTGCACTGGTACCCATAGAAATAAAGGCAGGCAACAACAACAACAACAACAACAAACATCCAGAAGGGAGCTAGAGAGTAAAGTTAAAAAGGTGGGGTGGACATGTGGTGGGCTTGACTATACTACATATTCCAGTTTTGTCCTTTTTAGGACAAATTTTTTTGTTATTTGAAGCCCCACCCTGGCTTTTGTCAGGGGCCGCAATATAGGCAGGCCATAAATACGGCCAATTGCCTGAACGCGGTTTCTGGGACCTCTCCACGGCGATCCTCATCCACATGGTGGCACTTTGTGTCATCGGGTGTTTATCGCTTGTGTGATGTCCTGGTGGGGTAGAAAGTCAGTCAGTCAGTCAGTCATGTGGTGGGCTGCATGCAATAGCAAAAGGATAGGATGACTTGGCATGAGTTGGTTAAGGCCTGTGCTTCGGGGAAAGGGGGGGGGGTGGGATTTAAAGGGCAGAAGAAGAAGAATATTTGTCTTTTGGAGTGTGTACTTAAATATTTAGTAGCTTATCTTATTATCATTACATTGACACTTAATTCTTTTTTTGTTTAATTCTGGGCTGTGATTTTTTTTATTATTTAATTTGCAAACTTGTATGCTCAATAGGAATAGTCTCTTTTCTTTTGACTTTTCTATAAGCTGATTTTAAACAGAAACATGGTAGCGCAGTGGTTTAGCATTTTTCATTCATTGTCCTATTGTGCCGTTTTATGTAAGATGGGGCGCAGAGTCTATTTCTCCACTCCATTCTGTCCTGTGCAGTCATTTCGATTTAATGAATGGAATTCAGTGCAGTGCCTTTGGCTTCTCTCATCAACATTCACCTTAAGGTTTCTCTTGGACATCCTTGTTTTCTCAGTCCCGTTTCATTACCTGTTTGGTGATTCTCTGTTTCCTCAATCCCGTTTCAGTACCTGTTTAGTGGTTCTCTGTTATTCTCTTCTCAGAATATGTCCGCTATTATGTCATCTCATCTGGTCTGTCTTATAACTGTTGACACATGGTTGCCTAGACATGTCTCTAACATTTTTGCTAGCTTTTAACATTTTACCTGGGCTCTTGGGTCGAACCAGCCTTAAATAAGTAGGAAGGAATGTCCTTGGAAGTAAAGTTATACTATTCTCAGATGTTATAAACATGTATCTTATTCAATGCCAGCATCATTTCTTCACCTCTTGATTGACTGGAATTTGTTTAGTTCTTTTCCAAAGCTCTAAACTAGTGATTCTATCATACTGTGTGATTCTCTGTATTCTGTTTAGGCACCAGTTAATGAAAGTTTGTAGTTTATTAGAAATTGTGTTTGCTGGGCTCTTGTAGTAGCATTGTCATTGTGGTAGCATTGTAAGTGTGGTAGCATTGTCAGTGTGGTAGCATTGTCAGTGTGGTAGCAATGTCAGTGTGGGAGCATTGTCAGTGTGGGAGCATTATCAGTGTGGGGACATTGTAAGTGTGGTAGCATTGTCACTGTAGTATCATTGTCAATGTGGTAGCATTGTTACTGTGGTAGCATTGTCAGTGTGGTAGCATTGTCAGTGTGGTAACATTGTCAGTGTGGTAGCATTGTCAGTGTGGTAGCATTATCAGTGTGGGAGCATTATCAGTGTGGGAGCATTATCAGTGTGGTAAATTGTCACTGTTGTAGCTTTGTCAGTGTAGTAATATTGTCACTTTTGTAGCTTTGTCAGTGTGGTAATATTGTCACTGTTGTAGCTTTGTCAGTGTGGTAATATTGTCACTGTTGTAGCTTTGTCAGTGTAGTAATATTGTCACTGTTGTAGCTTTGTCAGTGTGGTAATATTGACACTGGTGTAGTGTTGTCATTGTAGCAATATTGTTACTGTTATAGCTATGTCAGTGTTGTAATATTGTCCCTATGGTAGCCTTTTCAGTTTAGTAATATTGTCACCTTTGTAGCTTTGTCAGTGTGGTAATATTTTCACTGTTATAGCTATGTCAGTGTGGTAATATTGTCACTGTTGTAGCTTTGTCAGTGTGGTAATATTTTCACTATTATAGCTATGTCAGTGTGGTAATATTTTCAATATTATAGCTATATCAGTGTGGTAATATTGTCACTGTTGTAGCTTTATCAGTTTGGTAATATTTTCACTATTATAGCTATGTCAGTGTGGTAATATTGTCACTGTTGTAGCTTTGTCAGTGTGGTAATATCGTAGCTGTAGTAGCTTGGTCAGTGTGGTAATATTGTCACCGTAGTAGCTTTGTCAGTGTGATAATATCCTCACTGTTGTAGCCTTTGTCAGTGTGGTAATATCGTCACTGTTGTAGCTTTGTCAGTGTGGTAATATCGTCACTTTTGTAACTTTGTCAATGTGGTAATATCGTCACTTTTGTAACTTTGTCAATGTGGTAATATCGTCACTTTTGTAACTTTGTTAGTATGGTAATATTGCCACTGTTGAAGCTTTGTTGATGTGGTAATATTATCACTGTTGAAGCTTTGTTGATGTGGTAATATTATCACAGTTGTAGCTTTGTAGGTGTGATAATATTGTCACTGTCCTAGCTTTGGGGATATGGTAATATTGTTACTGTCCTAGCTTTGTGGATATGGTGATATTGTTACTGTGATAGCATTGCTAGTTTAGTAGGAGTGTCACAATTTTTCTAACCTTACCTGCTTTATAAAATTGAGTTGCCACCACACTACCACAGTTTGTACTTTTACTATACTGTGGTATCCCAGGTCATGAGCCTAATACGTTCTTTGACTCCATTTACGAACCAAAATGTTCGTGAACTGAAACAATGTGTCTCATTGAAACTAATGCAGATCCAATTAACCTGTTCACCCACCCCATACATATATTGTTTTGGTGTTTTAATACTTTTTTTTTTGGATGCAGTACATAACCTACAGAGTTGATAAAGATTGCAAATTCCTCTAGATAAGCATCTGCTGTTTTTCCCCCCTCCAAAATCACTACCTTTCCATGCATAACAATACTGTGAATACATAGTTTATCAACCCAGTTTCTTGAACCAGCCTCTACTTGCTTTCAATTCATCAGTGCTAGCATCAGTGTATTCAACATTTTCGCTGTTAAATCACCATGCAAAAGTAAAGCCTTCTCTCATGTTAACGCTTCACTAACACTATCTCCGGCAGGCTGCCTTTCATTAATCTAGACTGACAATGATTTTTCTTCTTTTAACACTTGAGACCTTCATTACATAGTCAATCCTTTAGCCAGATCAGTTGTCTTTAGCACATCTTTTTTTTTCCACATTGTCCAGATCGAAGATTTTAGCCTAGTTCAGATTGAAGATTTTAGGCTAGTCCAGATAAAGATTTTAGCCATGTCAAACTGCTTAGCAAAATCAGAAGCAAAAACACAATTATCATGTTTAGTTATTATTTGCTTCTTCATTTCTACTGTAATATGCTTAGGGCTTGTTTACTCTACTGTCACTAACACTTTTTACTTTCTTGGGAGCCATAATGAGGGTTCATTTAATGAAAGCAGAAAACGATTGTGTCAAAGAACAACACAGCCAAACAATATTCACAGTGTGAAATCTGAGTACAACTAATGCTGTTCACGAGTTGAAAACATGAACCAAAGACATGTTTGTACATTCGTGTGCCGAGAGAGTGTTCATGGGTCAAGTCAAAATGTGTTCAGAAATTGTGTTTTGGGGCCAATTTGTTCGTGACTAGAGACTTTCATGACCCGAAGAATCCCTGTATTTGGTTATGTTTGGATCATTTCGGTATTTCACTAATCCAAGACATATTTTCCATTGTAAAATGCACCATAACAGATAAACAAGTGGTATAAAAATTTGGCTTGCCAGCTTCTTGAACAGATAATATGCATAAAAATATGATACTTCCATTATTGACATTATGTATGTCCTTTTGAAAAAATGTTTCGGTTGCTTCATGTTTTGTATCACAGAGTGCTTTCCACCTGGAATCTCTTGACCTTTGAGATAGATTTTTGAATGTAAATGTTAACATCATCGATGATCATTATGCTGTTGCGTGTTTCAGATTTAAAAAGAAATCATAATTTGTTTCCACATATGGGCAATGGACGATGCCATTTCAGGAAATGTCAGAACTATTTTTATTCTAGATAAATGGGGCAAAATTGTGTTGCAGCAGCACAGAGCAGCATTTCAACCTCATTGATATTTGCATGGCTCTCGTTTAGTCCTTTTATCGTCTAATTTTTACAGAAAACCTGTGAAATGTCTCCGAAGAACTATTATGAGATTCTTAATGGTTTCACGCTCCCTCTTTTATGACCTTTCATTGTTAGATGGTGTGCGTTGCTTGTGTTAGAAAAAGATCTGATTTGTATGTCTTTATAGCATTTTTAGTTCTCACTGACTACCTTTGGTCTGCATTGCTGTATCGTTTTGGTATGTGGCTGTGTGCAGACTTTATATAGTAAGCCTGTTATTCTGTCTGTCTGTCTGAATGTCTCTCTGTCATGTGTGTCTGTGCCTGCACGCACGTTTGTGTATGTGTGTGTGGGTGGAGAGGGAGAGAAGAGAGAGGAGGGAGAAAGAACCCCTCTCTGACACTCTTAAAATAATCTGTGAAGTTTAACTGGAGAAAAGTCATAAATAACATGAACCTTTTGGGATAATATCGTATGAAGTGAAGTGGTAGTAGCATAAGACCTTTAAACCGACTGTCCCAGGACTAATACTTATTAAACAAATGGTGCGCTTTTGCAGAGATGAACTTGATACCAGAACTTGAAAAGCCATCCCATATTGTAGAGCTGATCGTGTAGGATAGCGAATGATGACCACCTATGATTTTTGGCATGGCACATGATGGTAATGATATTTTCCAGAGAGAGAGCTGGATTAGGAGTGAAGTATTCACTGAAAAAAGGGGCAGTGGATCAGAGAAGTTTTAGAAACACTGCTCCAATGCAGCCAGTACATTAAGAACATGAGGCTTCCCTCATGTGGGTTCTGGGGCCACATTGTTGAGGGGGGTGGGGGGGGGGGGGGGAATAGACCGACTGCCTCCCTAACAAGCATGTCATAACAGTCAACTAATTAGGGGATTCCTTCGAGATCGGAGTGCATCTGCCCAAGAGGCAAGGAACTAACAGTCTGCATACAATTAGGCCAGATCTGTAAAACGGGTGCAGACACCAAACTCACATCATTGAACAAAGCTAAGGTCTAGAAATAGATGAACAGCCAGCACTTTTCATCAGGGTTTACAGCTGGTGAATGAAAAAAAAAAAACATGCAGTAAATGGCTTGAAAACTGCTACTGAGGCCTAAGTGTATTTTCTATATTCTTATATAGAGTACATGTAAACAATACATGTTTAAGATTTTGTGTTGTTACTATTAAATTGCTTTGATTCCTGACCTGCTAATTAGTTTTCTTTTCTGCAACCTTTTTGTTTCTAGAAGTTCCCAGATAACCTCAGTTATTGAAATCTATGGAATATTTGTTTTATTTCTGTGTTGTTGCTAAAATAATAATACTTGATTAGTTGCTGTCAGTTTAGTTTCATTTTTATTTTATGTATTCTTACAATTTTCTTTTTACTTGTCTTCTTTTTCAACATTTTTGTTGATTCGAACACATGACCACGGGGTCTGCAGTCAAGCATGCTAACCGCTGCACTTCTACAGCTCCCAAATAAATGGTATGTTGCTCTAGTTTATTATATCATTTTGTGAACACAGGCATTAATAGCTTTGCATAGCAATGTAATTTACTGAGGCAAATTTTACCTTTCACAGTGACACGACTCCAAACCTGGTGGCCCGGCACAGCCTACGTTCAAATCAGGAGAGCCCAAGAAAAAGCAAACAGCTAGAGGTGCCTAAGTATTCCGGCATACACGTTACCGATGCCAGTAAAAGTGAGACCGCTTCCTGTCTGGCTATAACCGTTCCAAGTAAAACCAATGTGGTGGCTCCGTGGGAAGGAGCGGACTGATGATGCACTTGAATGTTGTAGTTTCATCTCATGTTATTATATTATTTATATTGCTACTAGTCAGTTTCCATAAGGATAATCTGTTGATTATTTTATATTCTCCATATCAGATGTTCATATACACTGGAAAAGTATTTTTTTTCCTTTCTTGGAAATGTCTTGTTTTTTCGAGGTGGGGGAGCTTTGGAAAACTTGTAGAAAAATTAATTGTGATGTGCTTTATATAGTATGTTTATATGTTATTACGATTCCTGTATAGTTTATTATGAATTCACCATAATTCTTGTATTGTATATTATTGTCTTATCATGGTTACTGTATAGCTTATTATCTTGTAAAGTATGTTATTTTTTTTCATCAAGATTTCTTCCTGTTAAAGGTTCCTCTGATTATATCTATTTTACTCCCTCAAAGAATTTATACAGCACTACGGGTAAAGATTTCACCATTCATTTCAGAACACATCTGTCCGTCATTTCATTTTGTGTCAGAAATGTGTCTAACAGTACTCGGATAATACAGGGTGTCAGACAGGGTTGAGTTTTATTAGAATATGTATTTTTCCATTGTAAATTTGAGCAAAGAAGACTAAAACAATAGACTGCACTCCCCATGTGTGTTTCAGGACCCTGTGTCGGGGTGGGTGGAGGGGGTTAATATACCCACTGCTTCCTTACAAGCATGTTGTAAAAGCCGACTAATTAGAGGTTTTCCCTTGGAAGTCAAAGTGAATTTTCCTGAGAGTTGAGGAACCAACAGTCTGCATCAAATTAAACCACATCTGTAAAATAAATGTGCACACAAAACTCAAGTTTTGAGACAAGGCCAAAGGTCTTGCAGTGGACGCACGACAAGAACTTTCCACCAGAGTTTATAGCCATTGGCACTAAAAGGAAGGATTTTATTGCCTAACATATTTCACAGCATTTCATCGGGTGCATACTACAATAATAGTTGAATATGGCCATAAACATGCATTTGCCCTGGTAAAACAGGCAGTTACCTTTGAGTGTAGCTGATTTTGAATTTCAATTCGAAGGAGATTCATTTATTTGCTTCATTCTTTTCAATTGTTAGTGTAATATGCACCTGAGGAGATACAGCGAAATATATCAAACAATAATTTATGCATTCTTTTGTTTTTGTCTTCTTTGTTCAGAAGATATATTGTACATTGTATTGCAAGAATATATGAGAGCCATTCAAAAATATCTTAACAGTTGATAAAAGATGCAAACTTCAATTGATCAACATGCTGCAGTCAATTTGGCCATCCAATATTATATTTACTGAATCATTGGTCATGCCACAGTCAACTTTTTTGGCTAACACATTATGTACTGGACCAGTTGTCATGATGTGGTCAGAATTATTAACCAATACTATACTTACTGGAACAGTACAGTTCTGTGTGCAGCAGAAATATATGTGGCAGTGCAAAGACTGTCTGAACAGTTCATGAAACATGCAAACTTCAACTGTGTGGTCATGATGTAGCTGATTTGACTATCCAGTATTATACTTAGTATGTTAGTAGTCACGTTATGGTCAGCATGGTTGACCAACACTATACTTACTGACCAGATGTTCTGCTGTAGTCAGCATGGTTGACCAACACTATGCTTTCTGACCAGATGTTATGATGTGGTCAGTATGGTTGACCAACACTTTACTTACTGTAATGGAAGAACAGTCTTTGTACAATAAGAATAAATGGGGGCCAGACAAAGATGGGTTATACTGGGGGGGGGGGGGGGGGGGCATGCAAATTCCAAAGGGGTTGTCATGGATCAGTTGATTTGTGACTGTCCACAGTTGTTCTTACTAGACTAGAAATTTCAAGGATGTGATCATGCTTCTTAGGTTTCCTCAGGTTGTCCACATCTAAAACCTGGAGACAGAGACAGGGGGGAGTGTAAACTGACAAAGGATACCATGGGCAGAAAAGCAGCTGACTGGCAGCAATGGAGATCCCTTGTGAATGCCCTATTGGTCAACAGCGACATGAAGACAGTATAGAGTTTATATAGCACAGTGGTTCTCAACCTTCCTAATGCAGCGACTCTTTAATACAGTTCCTCTTGTTGTGGCGACCCTTTAATACAGCTCCTCTTGTTGTGGCGACCCTTTAATACAGTTTCTCTTGTTGTGGTGACCCTTTAATTACAGTTCCTCATGTTGTTGTGACCCCTAACCATACAGTTATTTCTGTCGATACTTCATTAACTACAATGAATTTTTGTTTTGCAATGGTCTTTGGTGACCCCTGTGAAAGGCTCTTTCAACCCAAAAAAAAAGGGTCGTGACCCATAGCTTGAGAACCACTGATATAGAGTTCATGCTGCAGTCAGCTTGACAATCCAGTGTTATTCTTACTGGACTAATGCTCTGGTTATCCTCTGTCTGGCAACATGAAAAGAAATAAATTAATGCAGGGAGTTTTTTCTATAGGAAAAAAAAAGTGCCGGTACTCACCATAAAGAGTATAAAAAATAATGTGCAGGTACTCACCACATAGAGTGTAGTACAGTAGCACTGAGCTAATAATTTCTGAAACAAGATGCCAGTACTGCACACCATTGCCCTTAATTTAATGTAAAAGACCTTAATTTAATGAGAAAGCCCCAAATGTGACCACTGTCTGGGGCAGCACACATTAATGGAGAAAAATTTTAAACAGAAAGAGATTAACAAATAATGGCTTGGGTTAGTTTATTATTTTTGTTTGTGCAAGACATATGAGACTTATTGCCTGCCTAATTGTTACAGATGTTAACACTATTTCTCCAATGTTTTCATTGGATTACGTCAAATTTAATAGTAGTTTGTGGATTAAAACATTTCAGGCCTACAGTTACTTTAGAGTAGAAATCATATGGATTAAAAATGTAAAAAGTAGTTCTTCTTCTTCTTCATGTTCGCTCGCTGTAAACTGCTGAAAGTCTTGTTGTTCGCCCACTTCTGGACTTGAGTCGTGTTCCAGAACTTGAGTTTTGTGTGCACATGCATTTTACAGCATATTTGTGCTCGGCTCTCTAGCGTAGTTGGCTAAACCTGACTTCGCGGTGACCAGGTGACAAACTTCTTGTGGTCCAGGTTCACTACCGGGGGGTAGGCAGAAAAGCCACATTTCTCCCAGATTTACATTACCTATCATGCAATCAAAGCCGAAGGGTTGCGATATCCATAGTATCGAGCCAAAGCGTTAAATTACCAACTCATGGTTTCTGGATATTTAAAAAAAACAAAAACATAAGCATATTTGTGTGTACACTGTTGGTTCCTCACCTTCCAGACATATGGACTCTGTGGAAAGCCCTTAATAAGTCACTTTTTGCGACATTCTTGTGAGGGAGAGGGGAGTTGGTGGTCCGCTATTTTTTTTTTTTTTTTTTTTATCCACATGGAGAAAACTAAGTATAATTTAGAGTGATTATAAAAATAAATCTTTTTCTTCTTCATGTTCACCAGCTGTGAACTTTGGCGGAAAGTTCTGATTGTTCATCCACTTCTTGACTGAAGTCCTTTTCCAGAACCTGAGTATTGCACGTGCATCCATTTTACAAATCTGATTTATAAGTATGCAGACTGTTAGTTCCTTGTCTCTCAGGCAGTTACGCTCCGACTTCGAAGGAAGCTCCCAGTTAGTCGACTCTTACAACATGCTTTCAGGTAGGCAGTGGGTCTGTTCTTATTTTCACTAAAATAGGGCTCCAGAACTCGCACAGGGAATTAAGTTTAATAGAATTTATAACATCTTCGTGGAACAGGAGGAAATAAAGTAATAATTAAAAGGGTGAGTGAATGTAACAGCTGATTGGTGAGAAAGATTTAGGGGTCTCCATGGTGAAGTGGTCAAGCTATTTGCCTCGCGATCTGAAGCTCATGGGTTTGTTCCACTGCTATGTCATTTGGTTCCCAAGTGTATTTTTGGCAGAGACCCCTGGGGGTTTGTCCCCTGAGCTACAATGTTTATTCTTTGTGCAGCACATCCTCATCCTTTAACCTTTAGCTATGTTGAATTCACTGTCATAACATAAAGTGAGTCATTTTAGAAATTTCCATTTCTAGATGAACTTTTGTGCGAGTATTTGAAACACTTTTTATGGGTATTGAATAGAGTTTATTTTTCTTCCCATATTTCAAATATATCTTCCTTAAATTTGATAATAGCATGTTACTAATATCAGCGAAGCACTGGACCTAATACAGGTTCATAAATGTTAGTTATTTTCAAGCCATAAACATCAAATATGGATTATATATTTTTCTAGTCTGCTTTGGTGTTTAGTTGAAATGTATCACATTTATCATTGTTAGCGTAATTACTTTAGTGGACAAATGTTGCTGTTTAACATTTATTACATCTGATGGTAATTATTTGCATTTCTGTGTCAAAACAGTATTGAGAATTTGTTTCACGATTTTGCTCCACTATTGTATTGTAAAAGTATGCCAAATCTTCTTCTTCTTCTTTCGTTCACATGAAATAAATTGTCTATATCTGCAAAGCCGTCTCTTGTATGAATTTCACTGTCTTTTGTAATTCACTAAGTGGCCCGTAAAGTTTGACTTCCACAAGTGTCTCTTTTGGCCAAATGTTTTGCCTGAAAGCGTTGAATATGGGACAGTCTTGAAGGATGTGATCTGTTGTTTCAGGTGCCAGTCCACAAGTACACATGGCCGATTGGCCAATCTTAAATTTGTTGTACATGTGGGAGTGAAGTCGATTGTGCCCTGTTCTAAGGCGAAGGATAATAACTTGCTCTGGTCTGTCCATAATTTGGTAATCATCTTGTGCCAGTTTCGGTGGCATTCTGATTGATTTGATCATTCTCTTCTTCTGTTGATAAGAGACTGGTATGTCAGGTTGTTCTTCAGTTGCACCTTCCTTAGCTAGTATGCCAAATGAATATCAAAGCTTAAAAACAGCCATTTCATTGACTGTGTACACCAACACTCACATGGTAATTACATAGGCATGCCCACTTAGCATGTTT